CCCCGGGGCGGTCTTCTTCCCGTTTGGGACCCAACCCAACAGATAGAAGATGGCCTTGTTTCTAAACTTGGAAGCACGCACGCTGCGCCTTTCGTCTCTTCCCTTCCCTTCCCTCCCGCACAGAAACTTACTGCGCGTGCGTGCGTATGTACGTAGCCACAGCCTCACAGGCCCCTCCCCCCTTCCCCAACAGGTCAGTCCAGTCCCGTGCAGCAGCAGCAGCAGCAGCAGCGTTCACATCAGGAAAGTAAACGCGCCCCATGCGGGCGGCTGCGCGGAAAAGCTTGCATGCATGTTAGCCACTTGCCAGCCAGTCAGCCCCCAGTGGCGGGTGGTGAGTGAGTGAGACACACATGTCTCTCCATCCGATCTCGTGGGCAGGGCGGTGAGACCACCCTAGGATGCCTAGCAGAGAGACAGAGAGAGACAAGGCCAAGGCGAGTCTGTCTCAGACACACACACACATCCGCACCGAAAGAAAAGACTACGTAGTTTAGCACTGTACTCTTTTACGGGTACAGTACACATTACCTCGATCTGTGAGTGCGTGTTTCTGTGTCCGTGTTTGTATGTAGTCCGTGATGCGCGCCGCGCATGATACGTGCCCGCCTTGGCGCCCACGCTGCGCCGCGGCTCTGCATGCAGGCGATTCCAAGGCACCCGTCGTTGCTCTCAGGTCTCGCCGTGGCGAGCGGCAAGCCACCCGACCTCGCGCGTGGTGGGCCGCCTGCAGCTGCCTCCCGTCACGTTGCTCCCCGTCCATGCCTGATCGCCACGGCCGTCCTCTCCCCGGCGCATTCGTGCCCAGGCCAGGCACACTTTCGAGGCACACTGTCGAGGCACGTATCATCCGTCGACATCGTGACTCCCTTACGCTACATGGTCACGATGCGCCGCACATGCTTCGTCACCTGTGGCTCGCTACTCGTATTCACCCAAAGGCCCTCGGCATCAAGCCATAGAAGCCTGTTTGTTGCCTAGATAATACTAACAACGGTAGACGCAAATTCAAAGCTAGAGGAAACAGGTCGTCGGCGGCTTCATGTCTCGTAATTCCGTCGCTTTCGCATGTTCCCATACCCCATCGTCTCGCGCTCTCAGTCTGCACTCAAGACGTCGTGCCCTGTCTGGCTCCCCCAGCACAGCACGGGCGAGCCATGGGCCGTCCTGGTCACGCTTCCCGTATCCCGGAAAAAATGCCTCCTGCGCCCGCCCAAGGAGACCGCTCCTCCAGTGTACAAGTGCGTCCGACTGGAACCTGTCTGCAGTGTCTGCCACGCGTTCCGTGTTCCCGTGTCTGCAAAATCCCATTCATCTCGCCACCAGTTCGAAAAACGTCGATACAGAGTCGAAAGTAGAAAAGGACCATGCACCAACCGTATACTCGTTATCCATCCAGGAATATACCAACCAACACAATGAAGTCAAATGCTCGCTCGCTGGTAGGGTCACAAATGAGAGAGGGATCAACTGGTTTTTTTCGAATAAAAGGGCCCGCAAGTTGGCGCGATCGGCCCAAAGTCATGGTTTGGTGCGTGAGCAACTGGTCTGAAGTGGCGGGTGGTGTCGTTCGGTTGCGCGAGAGCGGCGTAGAGGTTTATGGCTTTGAATAGATTGGTGATGGCATGCACGGGGTCCAAGGAAAAGCCAATCCAACAAGGCGGGCAAGGAGACGCAATCCGGGCAAAAAAAGCATTAATGATAAAGTGGCCGTGAGAATTTCGTCATCATAACAAGTAGTAAGTCGTGTGGTTCTGTTTTCTGTGCGTGGTACTTCGTAGTCGTCACGTCGTGTCGTTGCATTGCTGCTCATTCTGTGCGTTGCTGCACTCGGAAACCATTTTCGCAAAATTTCGAACCACTTCCCTGGGAATCTGGTTCCAGAGAAGCGATCGCGTGTACACCTCGGCCGCGCCCGTCTGCTTGTCGTCCCGAATCTCTGCGAGCGCCTCGGCAAGGTTCTTGCGGCCCTGGCTGGTGGATCGTTTGGGCGGATTGAAGTCTTGATTGTGGACGCCATTGTATTGGGTGGACGACATGGAGAAGATGTGCTCGTTGGTCTGCCGCTCTGATGGCTGTGACAGAGCGTCTCCAAGCTCCTCCAGCATGGAGGGCGCGACGTGCATACCGGCCACGGGGGCTCCCGTCGCCGTTGGCTGTGGCCAGTTGACCGCCCCAGACGGCTGAGGAGCCATGGGTTGGAGCCCATGTGCTTGAGGCTTGACGCCCGCGTCGTTGAGCACGTTCTGGAGAAGCGTCTCCGACGCCACACGCACGTCCTCAGACACGCGCGTGATGGGCGGCGTGGAACCCCTCGACATGACAAAGGCTCCGACAAGGAAGAGCATGAAGAGCAGTCCACCCTGAGAAGCACCCTTGTCGCTGTCTTCGGAGGCCGCGCCCTCGGTCTTCTTTGCGGGAACGATGGACATCTCCTGCTTGACCTCGGGCTCAGGGGCATAGTCGTTGAGGAAGCCAGCGTTGTCCCAGGCGCCAGTCATGTCCATGTCGTTCATGTCATCATAGGCGCCAGGGAACCCGTGGTTCATGTGGGACGTCTGCGCCGTGGCGAGCGGTGTGGCCTCAAGCCTCTGGACATGTTCGGTGAGAATGCCGACCTTCTTACGAAGGTCTCCCGTCTCGAGCGTGTGGGCTCGTATCATCTCGTCCTTCTCAAGGGTGAGTGTCTCAATGTAGTCCATGCAGGACTGCTTCTCACGGTGCAGCAGCTCCATCTTTGCCTTGAGGCCGCCCACCTCCTCTTCCAAGTCGTTGATGAGTGCGGTGTAGTGCTTCTTCTCGTCCTCGAGCCGCTCAGTGTGTAGCTTCTTCCTCTGCCTTGAGTCAAGACTGCATCAATCGATATTAGCGACGTATCCATGGGGCATTAGGCGTTTTGAGTGAGAACTTACGCTGCTTGTCGGTTGCGGAGCAGGCGCTTTTGCTGTTTGAGCTCTTTGATCTCCTGCTCGTCGGTCGAGGATGCAATCAGTTGGTCGATGTTGTTCAAGTTGCGCTCCGCGGGGATCTCGAAGCGGGCATTCTTCTTGCGGATGCCGTCTCCTCTTCTGAGATCGTTGTGGGATCGGATCCCTGGGCTGCTCGAACGCATCTTCTTGGCGGCAGACTGAGCCGTAGCCATCCATTCTTTCTGCGGGGACGTGGGCATGTGCTGCTCGCCAGAGCCGAGAGGTGCAAAGATGTTGCCGACCGCGTTATAGCCGTTCTGACCCTGCACCGATCGCTGGAAAATGGAGGAGCCCGCGTCGTACTCTGCGGGAATCGACTCGAAGGGATGGAAGGGGGTCGTGGTGCCGGAGCCGGAACCCATCAACCAGCTGCCGCTTTGTTGTTGTCCGAAGGCATGCGTTTGGCTCTGGTCGATCCGCATGAAAGGGTTGTTGCTGCTGCCGCTCGGTTGCTCGAAAAATGGGTTGTTCGAAGGCACCGACTGCATATCGACCGACTGCCAATCCTCAGTCTTGGGAGAAAAAAGAGTGCCGGAGACGGCAAATGATTCTCTCCGGCTGTCGGCCATTGGAGGCGAGAGTTCCAGACCCGAGTCTATGGTGTTGTGGTCGAGGATGTTCTCGTCAAGCACGCTTTTGTCTTCTTCCTCGAGGTACTTTTGCTGGGCATGGTTTGTATCCACGGTCAAATTGGCCGCTCGATAGAAGGCTTGCGAGGGGAACTGTGGCACCATCGCAAAGGGCCAGAGGGCGGTGCGTCAGGTCTGCTTTTTGTGCGGGGAGAGTCTGCCCGGGATGGGGCGCTGGCGCCGCGAGGCGTGTCGAAGACAATGAGGGGAGCAGCGACCGAGAGGATATTCAACTTCTGCGGCGGAACGGCGGTAAGTGTCAGTGGCAGCACTGTAGAATAACAGACAGAAGCGTGAGGGTTGAAAGCGGTTCAGTGTGAGGTCAAGGTGGGGTTGTTGCACAACGGGTTGGCGCACGACAGCGTGATCCGATGCGAGGTAGCTTGACCGTGGAGCACACAAAACAGCAATGGCATGATTCGCAATAGCAATGGTGAACGCAACAGCGGTGCGTCACATGCGGACGGGACGGACGAGGCGGATGCAGAAAGAAATAGTCTCGAGGTGCGGTCAAGCGGCTGGGGATGGCGCAGAGGTTCATGAAACTAGAGCCAGGAGGCTGGCAGTAGCGTCGCCGGAAGTGAGGACCTGCCGTCTTTCTTCTTGGAGAAGAAAAACACGAAGCAGGCCCGACAAGTGCGATCATGTAAACCCGAGTGCAGGTGTGGTGTTGCAGAACGTGGGTTCAGAGACAGGCAGCAGGAACGTGGGTATCATGACGGGACAGGGCGAAGCGTTGCGGGACGGGACGGGGTCAAAGGGCAGACAAACAGACGGGCAGCTCTCACCTGGTCTGGTGGCTCATCCAAGGTCTCACAGGGATCTCGGAGGAGCGGCGCGGTGCGACGGGCAGAGATGCAGCGGAGCGGGCGAAGCGTGCGAGGCGTGAGTTGACAGAGATGCGATACTCTTGGTCGTGCTTGAATTGTGCGTGCTTGCGCGATTGCGAGATGGGCCGGTCGGTGCGAGTGCAAGCCTGGGATTTTCGGTATGAGTGCGAGTGTGAGTGTGAGTGAGTGCGAGTGGAAGCGTAGGTGCGGCTGCGGATACGGATGCGGGGGCGGTGGCTGGCTTATGAGGCCGTCCAAGACAAGAGTCCCCGAGGAGTCGATGGGGGCAGTCGCGCGGCGGAGGAGAAGAGCGGTGCCAAAGGAGGACGCAGAAACTGGCGCGGACGGCGGGACGAGGATGAGGCCCGAGAAAAACAACGAAGATGCCGGAGAAGAGAAGATGGCAAGGGCAGAGGGGGGTGGGTGAGGGCAGGGCAGCGACAAGTAGCGCAGACAGAGGAGGTGAGGAAGGTTATGTAGGCCATAGGCGTGGGCGTGGGCGTGGGCATGGGCATGGGCATGGGCATGTAAGTTGCGCGGGACGGACCTGCCTCGACAAGGTCCGCATGATGGGTGCGAGAAGGTACAGTACGAAGTACAAGTACACGCACCACGACGAGGTACAGCCAGTACGAAGTGCAACAAGTGCAACACGGAGGGCGGGCAGGCAGGGCAAGCCAGGCCCGTCCAGTCGCCCGCCAAGTACGAGTACCGCCGGGCCCTGATAGAGTGGCTTGGGGGGGAAGGAGCGCCATGGGGGGGGAGGGAAAGAGGGCGGAGGGGAGACGGTCAAGGAAGGAGTGGAGGCCAGCGGATGGCACCGGGTCCCGTCCCGCCCTCGATCCAGGTCCCGAGGCCCCCCAGTCCAGGTTCCAACCATGGCAGCGCTCTATTACCGTCGATGTACCCGACACCGCACCCGACGCAGCGTTGGTGACTTGGCGGGGCAGGTCACGCCCCATGGCCGTTACCTGCGCCGCCCCACGAAGGGACCCGATGGCACAGGGTCCTGATACCCACGAATCCCGACCAGGCCGCCCAAGAATGGACCTCCAGGAGGGGGGGGGACATCTCATGTGCCCGCATCGCGATTCACCTGGCCCTGTACGGAGCACCCCAGTAGCCCTCTATATGGCTTCTTGCACTTTGCATATTTGACTTCGACACCACATCGGATCCGTTGTTCAAGGCGCTTTAAAATGCGGAGAGAGACCCAGCCAGCACGCCCGCCGAACCGCGCCCGTCCGCCGTCTCGGACAAAATACATGCCCAGGTCTAGAAGCGCTGCTGCGGCTCTCGCGCGCGCCATCGCGTTTTCCTTGTCCGTGCTCCACCACGCACCACTTCGAGCCCGCTGAAGGCAGCTCTAGCTGGCCGCTGCCGAATTCGTTCGTCTTCGTCCACTTCCAGAACGCGGCTGGCCGGGGAGCGGGCACGCGGCTGCGAGGACAAAGCCACGCCTGACGCGGCTGGCCTGGGGACATTTGGGCTCGCGAGGCTTGAAGCCGAGCACCAGGGCGAGCAGAGAGCACAGGGATACCCAGCACGGGCAGTCTCAATCGAGGTTCCTTCGCGCCTGGCACCGCAGCCGGCCCATGCGGGCGGCCAGCCCTTGGGCTCCTATCTGGACGCTGGACGCGAACGAGAGGCTCCCGATCACTGGTGCCCGGAGGCTCAGCTTTCACCTTGCGTACCCGTCATGGCTTAGCAACGAGCCGTCGCTGCATTTTGATCGCGCTCATACCCTGTCCTCATGTCCCTCCCTGGGCCGGGAGACGTATCGCGACCTGCATGGATCATGGGGTTGATCGTGAGATGCGGCAGGTACCTACAGCCGGCGAGTACAAGTGCTGCATCGCTGAAGTGCTAGGTAGAGTCGGTCTGCCAGCTCGTGTTACCGCCAAGTAAAAAATTCCCCTTTACTCGTAGAGTCGGCAGGATTGGGGAGGCGCGAGTGCTACGAGGCGACACGCAGAGACGGGCTCCATGCCATCCCTCTGTCCATCCATCCATACATCCATCCCCCCTCGAGCCATCGACAGGCTGCTCCCTTGGAGATGGCGGTCGTCTTCGGCAAACGTCCTGGAAGCGAGCGTGGGTGCGGGCCGCCGCGAGATGCCCCGTGGCGGCACCCTCCCAGGCGACTCGAGGTCACAAACACCCACCACCACGGCCGGCCGCTTGGCCCAAGGCGATCCCGCTAAACATCACCAGCACCACCCTCCTGCGCTTCATGGTCACACCTGCCGTCCACCACGCACCTCCGTTGATCTTGGCCGCGGTCTCGTCTCCAGCTCCTCATGTGGCGCTGGGACGTTGGGACTCGTGCATGGCTGGTCGTGCAAGTCAGTCATGTCTCTGGCGTCATAGCCCGAGTGAACCCTGCCACGCACCGGCGCTCCCGTCGTCGCGTCAGTCCACCCTCGCTTGACACCTTGGCCCCGTCGGCGAGGCTCTGGCCTGGCAAAGCGTCTGTTTTTGGCGTGTCTCAAGGGTTCCCAGTCGACCGTCGGCAGCTCGCCTAACTTCGGGCAGGGTACTTGGTCCTTTCCCCGAAGCACGGCCCCCCATGGTGCAAAGTGCCTAGGTTCAAGTCACCAGGGCCGACTGCCTCAGGTTGCGAATAGCATCTGCTCCAAGGTGACGGATGACCATGGCTCAGCGACAAACAGTCGCGTTCCAGATCTGTGTGCAACACCGTGGTGGGCACACTCTGGGGCCACCCCGGGCGGCCTCGCCGGGACCGACCCCCGAAACCAGTAGCAACGGGCAGACAGAGTCACGGCAGGATGGACGAGAGCCACTTGATGTCCATGCGGCACCTCTGCCTGCTTCTCTGCCGCTGTCTGATGGAGACTTGGAGGGGGACCCGGCCACAGACGTTGGGCAGCAAGAGCAGCCAACGTGGGGGGGGGAGGATGAGGGGAGGGCCTGACCCTCGGGCGCCTCTCAGGCGTCGCGGCGACTGGTGTTGCTAATCTTATCTTGATGACTGAGAGACCTGCCACTGGCAGCCTTCCCCTCCCCCCCTGCTCGGCCTGGCGGACAAAGTCCATCCTTTCACCCACAACCTGGAGGCTAGCAGGGCGGCAGACAGGCGTGACGGGAGCCAATGCCGCTCCCGCCCTTCTAGTGGCCCCGACGACAGATGACACCCATGACGACGGCGCAGCACTGGGGGCCAAAGCCCAAAGTGCAGCCGGCGCTCTCCCCTGTCTGTGCGTGACTGGTGGGCGACAGGCGACTGGTTCCCCGTCGCCCATGGCTCAGTGCTGCCCATGTGCTGGTCGGCGGCTCTTTCGTGGTGCGTTCTTCCCGTGGCGGTGGGTGGTGGTGGTGCTCGCAGACTTGTTATCCAATGTCATGCCTCGGCGGTCTGCTCCAATGCGTGGCCCTTGGCCTGCGACCCTCTCCCCCGCCGCTCTGAGCCCATCGTATCGGCGGGCAGAAGATGTCATAGGGGCACATGAAATGCATACTCGGTCACGATAGGCTGCCCGCTCGGTTGCGTTACACCTGTAGGGTAACCGGGTGGTGGCACGGGTCGTCGAGCGAGAACTGCCCCGGGGGACCTGGGAGTGCATCACAGCTGCGAAGTCGGCACAGTTCGAGAAGTGAAGGTATGGGCGGATCAAGAGATGGGGAAGCGGTGGCCGTGCTGCGCGGCAAGCGAGAGAGTTCAGCGACCACGGGGCCTCACGAAGTCGAAAGAGAAGACTGAAGCATATGCAACGCCTTTCGCTGCGACATGCCCCTCTGCCCGCCTCCTTTGCCATGGCTTCAGTCTAAAGTACAGCACGAAGCAGGCACGGTTCCTGCTGAGTCGCCCAAGGTCACAGGATGGACCGGAACAGAGCAGTACGAGTACAAGTACGAACCCAAGGACCTGTTGCCCGTCTTGTACCTCGCAACGTATTATGTACAGTGCTCCGGACATCTGCACTGCGGGTGGTTTTCATGTTTGGCAGGCTTGCTCTGGTTGCTCTTGCCCGTTGTGGACTGGGCCTCCCGCACCTTCCAGGTTGCAGACTGTCCGTGGTCGGCCAAGTATGGGTACTTGGTGAGGGAGCGAGGATGGAGGGTGCCAGTCGTACCATCCGGCGCGCGCGCCCGCACGCAGTGACAAGGCGGCCGGGACGCCGCTGAAGCTTCGCGGGTACCCAGCACAAAACACAACCCAGACAGAGACACGAACAACTCCACCCCTCCGCCTGACCTCGACGACGTTAACCCCTTCGACAACGATGCAACGCAATTGTCCGATTTGGACATGCCGCTGCCGCTGCTCAACCGCGACGTGCGCGGCCGTCTCTCACTTGCGCATGCATGTACCAGACCCTTGCGACAACGTGCCCGCGGCCGCGGTCACGCCAGAGCTCAACCGCGCTGCACGGTACTCTGAACGGCACTCTGCTCCATCCGCTACGCGCCGGGCACTCATCGACGCAGACTCCTTTCTTCGTTCGTTCCCCGACCCGGCGTGGCTGACCCAGACCGCTGAGCAGAGCGCTCCGGGGGCCCGCAGCCCTTGGTGCAGAAACCAGCCAACCACGACTTGGTGAAGGGGCTCGACATCAGCGCCTCCACGCGGCCGCATACAGCGCGGCCAAGCGTCCCATCCACGAGCCTCTCACAGCCTCCCGTGGCCTTGGATGGCTTCCCATGGCCTCCCATGGCCTCCCGCAGCCTTTTGTCGGTGTGTTTCTGCCCCCTTGGGCATGTCCAGCAGTCTGGTCAGGCACCGAGGCTAATGCCCGTTCCAGCCACCACGTCGGCCCTCCATCTGGCCTGGCGAGGTGACATGCCAGAGTGACGGCCCTGGCGGCACCGCGACGCTCTCCGCGAGTCTCCTTGACGGCTCGCCTCCGCGGGTTCAGCCCGGCGAGCTGCTGAGCGCCGCCTGCTCCCAGAGCCGGCGCGAGCCTCGAATTGGATGCCGTCGTCTCCGTCGGTGCATTCGCCACCAATCAAGCCCGCGAGGCGCGCTGCGGTTGCTGCATCTACGATGTTTCCCGTCAACTCGGGCCGCCATGGATCGTCTCACCATGTTCTGCGCAGCTTCCACTAAGTAGTTGACCGCGACTCGTGTGCCGACCACCTCGTGCGCCTCCATCCGGGTAGCAAGCGTTGCTTGGTCCTCTGGCCTTAGCCCGCCACAGGCGCCGTATGGCATATTATTGACGCCGCCGAGGCTGGTTCCGATTGGCAACATGCTGCTCCTTGAGGTGGTGAGACAGCATCGTGATTGTGGCCCGCGAACGGCGACGCGGTTCAGGCGCACCCTCGTCACAGACACACAGCCGTGGTGACTACGCGTTTGCTTCGCGAGCGATGCCATTCGTCATTACCGAGCTTGTTTTCTCGCCGTCCCCCGTTGTCTCGCAAGCGTCGCGGTGAACAGACGTATGTGGCTGCCTGTCACTCGAACAATGATAGTGTGAGGACAAGGAGCTTGCTTTGGTGCTTGGTCAGCCCTCAGACCTCCGATGACACCGGCTGCCTCATTGGCATTGTGCTCCGACTGTGGAAAGGCTCCGCATGGGACCGTTGGCTGGTCAATAGCGCACTTCCTGCCTCTGGGGTTCGACCGAGCGGCGGTCCTCAACTTTGGCAGTCATAGGTCTCAACGGATACGCCAGGGACGTCGGCAACGAGGAGTAGTTTCTGGCATCAGCGCATACGCTCCGGCTGTGGATGAGAACTTCTCTAGGTAACCCTCGAGCCGTCCTTCCATCCGCTACAGGGGAGAAGGCTCCTCCGGAGCATCATGCACTTAGCGCAACACGCATCGCATCAGTCACGCACGTTTGTTCATGACAATGGGCCATCCCATTTCCACGCTACTATATTTGCGCCTTCCAGTGGGGAGCAGATGCATCCAACGTCGGTTCAAACATGCGGTCAAGATGACCCTTGTCTTGCGCTTGTTTCGCAGTGGCCCAAGATCCAACGCCGGGCTTCGAGTGAGGTGTGGGAATGCGCAGTTGCGAGGGCTCCTGGTCGGACAATCCGCAGAAGAGTCTCCGCGACCCGTTGGTGCAGGCTGCCCAAGCCAGCGTCTCTGCGCCGGCGGCAGGCTGCGTGTTCGCCCTCGCCCTCACTCGCGATGCACCCCTCTGTCTGCGCCCAACAAGCCCCCTTGACGCGAGCCCCACCGGATCACATCAGGGTTGACAAAGCAAACAAGCTGTCTCTATGCTGAACGCGCCATGACTCACTGGCAGCCTCGCCTCCAGCCCTTGGCCAGGTGGTTGTTGGGCGTTCGCGTCAACAACGTTGGCCATTGGCGGTGAACATTAGTGTTTACGCATCTCGTGTTTCAAACCTCGCTTTGAGGAAGCTGCTAACAGAGGTGCTGTACTTGATTTGCCAACACGGGCGCCTCACTATAGCTGCATACGGCCTGCTTGTCGGTTGACACAGTCGCGAGACATCATCGATACCACGGAGAACGCGATGCCTTGAGCGCGACCGGCCAAGGCTGCGGCGTGAACTCATCTCTGATTGCAGCACCCCCGCCATCGCAAGGCGATTGAGAGATTCATTCGAGCGCATATTTGTCTCTGAGCGACGTAGATCTGGTTTCTGCCTCGGCCAACGCGCTGGCGCGAACATCTGATGAATAAACACCACCTGCAACGGGGCCGTGCTGCTCCAGGAGGGGACTTCATGGCATGGCCCTACTGCTCGAGCCTCTCCACGAAACAGAGGCGAGGCTAACGTAACAGTACACCTTCACAACTCTGAAACATGCCCGACGAGCGTCTCTGTGCCAACAAGATGGCCGGCCTTGCCGGAGAGGATTACTGAGTACTTGCAAGAGACGCCGGTCGCTGCGTTGCACGGCGCGCGAATGCCGCCTCGCACGAGGAAGCAGCGAGCCGATAGGACGGCCATCTACGAATGGGACGGTCAGCTGCGCCGCCGATGCTATTTCTGGGGAACCACGGTTTGCCGGTCCAGGGGACGAAAGCCAGCAGGGTCGAGCAAGAGTGTGGCGGCGGAGGGGGAAAGGCGCATATTGCGTACCGGCAGGCTCGTACAGGTGAATCGAAAGACCCCGGTTGGCGGCAAAGGCACGAAGCACCGGCTGTATGCCGTCTGGGGTCATCTGACGGAGCGGGTTGGGCTGCTTCATCTCAGCCCAACAAGGACGACGGACGGCGTCGTCCTCTGCTGAACGCGAAGCCAATGTCGACAGTGAGGAAACGCAAACGACCTTGCCGTGGCCCGTCGCATCTGTGCCTTGACGTCCGTATCTTGCTATCGGGCTGCTACACCACACCCTTGCTGGCTCCCGTTGCGACCCCTTGTGAGTGGTATTTCGCTCCGTGTGCATATTTGGATGCGATTGCCGGGACGCACACGTCAAGCTTCCAGCCAAGACGCTTCCCGCCGACCATCTTATCATCTCCTGGAGACAATCATAGCCCTATGACCACGTAACGATCCCTCGTAGACCTGTAGACCACATCCTGCCTGGCAGGTTGACCCCATTCTAGTTGCCATATCAAGAAGGCCCTTGGGCCAGACCAGACACGACCGACGGCTCCCGTCCTTCCACGTATTCATTCCAACTCTGAAGCTCTGCACGCTCTCACCCGCCGTGAACGCACTCTTCCGAGGGTTAACCCTGCCCAAGCGTTGCGGGACGATTCCTCTTTTCTCCCTGTCGCGTAGCTCTGCCCTGGCTCTAACCCGCCGCGTGCCCGTCTAACACCTATCGGACGGACGCGACGCTGGGTGCCGTTGACTAGATAGATCCCCATCGTTGAGGGGACTAGCAGGGCGCGGATAGGGACGGCCCCTACGGACCTGACGTGACCGTACTTTGTCTGCCTCGGTGCGTACCTGGGTGAGCATCGTCTGCGGCGAGAGAAGGGCAGGAAAGGGAAGGGAACCAGCCGGCGGCAATCTCAGGAGCATCGTGGATGTATGTACGTTTCTGAGGGAGGGAGAGTAAGCAGGCCATTCTCAGGGTTGCTCGTCCCTGTCCAAGGGCTCGTGGGAAGTCTGAGAGGGGAAGGGACGGGGACGGATGCAGATGGATAGGCAACGCCCATTTCGAGGACGCCGAGAGGTGGGATGCTCCACGGGCCTGTATCTAGTTCGTACTACCACTACCTCCACGAGAACGCAGATGAGTCCATGAGTCCGACTCCCCGAATCGTCACGCTGGCTGTGTACACGGAGCAAAGCTCCCCCTTTTCTCCCTAGGACATCAACGCCTCTCCACCACCATCAAATTAAAGACACGCTCTCCCTCCTCCCGGGCCAAGGTGCTCGTCCCGACATGCCTACTATTCCCATCCTACCTACCTCCCTACCTCCCTACCTACCTAGCACGCATCGTAGTCAGTCCTCAGGCATGTAGACCCCTCCCAGACAGACAGAGGGCCGCCCGTGAGCCAACCCGACTCTTCACACCGGGTCGTCCGACATGACAAAACGACAAGCAGGAGGGTTGACCTTTATTACGCCCTCGACGGCAGCAATCACGCGACCCGAGCATAGCTTGTAGCCTTCCTCGGGCCTCTGGGTACGGACGTGACGGGAGGACGTGCCTTCGAGGCGGGAGGGCCAGGATGGCAGTAGTCAAGGGGCGCGCTGATGTGCGTTCGCCGTACAAGAGGTTGGACGTAGTTGGCGATGGATACCCAAGGGGTTCACTTCGCAGTCTCGCTGGCAGGCTAAAGTCTGGATCTCGAAACACATTGTCGATGAATGTCTGCTTGTTTGCTATCTTTAGCTACGTGTTCCGGCTCCGCAGCCCCCGTGTGCAACGTTCAACCTGCCGATACAAGAGCACGGCATGCTCCGCAAGGCTCAGAGACTGGACAGCTGTGGAGTGATGGCATCCACACGTGAACCACACCGTACTGGAGACAACATGCGCTCGTATCCATGCCATCTCTTGCTTGATATTCTTCTACTCGCTCTCCTTCATGATGGTAAGCCATGCAAAGGCCCCTGGAAACCTGTACAACCGTCGGTACTGCAGCAAACGAGTCTCGACGTAAATTCTCGCCAGGCAATGCAACCATTTATATGCCAATTCCTCCATCTACACAGCATACCCGTTGTTTCGTCTTCTCCTCTATGTCAAGCGGTATGTGGTACCCTTGTCCGGGACTCCCTTTACCGGCTCTCCAGGTCGACTCCAGCCATCTCAAGCAGTCGCTCGCCGGCGCGCAGATTGGCGTATTCGTAGGCCTTGGACTCGGGCGGAAACGTGCCATTGGCTGCCCAGATGTCGAGGAGGGGCTGCATGGGCTCAAGCTCCTGCGCCCTGAGCATGTCGAGCGCGGTGGCGGTCAGCACGAAGTGGGAGAAGCAGCTGTTGAGTTGCTTCTCGAGGTTGAGGTGGTAGAAGGGCTCCGTGAAATGGGCCCAGTAAAGGTGAGCGTAGACGCGGAACATCTGGCGAAAGATCATCTGGCACACATCGATGAACTTCTCAGGGAAGCCGGACCGCTTGCCGATCCACTCTGGGTCACCGGGGTTCGACAGCTGGGAAAGGGGCGTCGTCGTGATGGCCGGATTGTGGGCATAAGACACTCCAGTGGCATCGGTCGGGAAGATGTTGGTGTCGTCAATCTTGCCCGAGATCCACCGCTGCATCAGCGTCATGTACTCGTAAGCAGGCAGCTCGACGGGCTCCCTGTCCTTGTTGAGCCAAGTGAAGGAGTGGTTGCTGTTGTCAGGGTTAGCAAATCCATCAGCCACCGACATGGTACCGTCTACTCACCCCCCTGCCGACATGCGCGGGCAACTCGTGGCATTGCAGATGGACGTCCCATTGTCCTCCTTTTCATGGACGACGCGGACAAAGTTCCAGAGATTGCGGTAATGTTCGACGACTAGGGCAGAGCATTGGGGTTAGAGAGGCACAAACGGCAAAGGACAGTCATGGGCTGCGCTTACTCTGATGCGCGATCCACTCGCCCTGCTCAACCGTCTTTGGCCGGGCGCTGAGGGTCATAAAGTTGCCCTTGACAATGTGCTTGATATACTGTCCGTTGACCCAGAGGGGGAGGGGTCGAGGGAGGTGGTACGAGTTGATGATGTCGTCGCCACTCGACATGACGCCGCTAGACTCGTCCATGCCGATGGTCTGGGCGAGCGACGGGGAGTTTGGCAGCGGCGGGACCTTGGGAGCGAGGTTTGTGGAGGACTGGCTGGCCTGTGAGAGATTGTCGGGCGAAGGCGCTGCTGGCGGGCCGGCCGTCGACGGAGACGGGCTCTTTTGCTGGCCGGGGGGTTTGCTGGACCCGCCACGGAAGCGGGCGTTTCTGTAGCCAGCTGGTCAGCAAGAGGTGACGATGACTGCGCGAGACGGGCGCGATGGGAGAGGCGGGTGGTGGAGGTGGTGAGTGCCGGGGGCGGGCGCCGGGAACTTGCAGCGCCTCGGGATGACCTGCGGCACAGCAACGCGAGAGCTGTTTGCCGTGGCGGCAAAGGAACGAAACGAGTTGAAACGCAATCCTGCGCGCAGGGAGGGGAGGGTTCGAAGCTTGGGACTCAGGTGCAAGACGGCGGGCAGAGGCGCATGTCGCACGACGGCGGCTCAAGGTCTCAGCCTCTCAGGTGAGCATGGCAACGCGACGGCGAGGTCCAAGTCGACAGAGTGCGGGTGTAGGGGCATGAGGCGAGATGCGGCGTTGCCCGTGACGGGGCGCCACTGTGGGTTTGTGCAGGTGGAATGAGGGGCAAAAGAAAGCTTCAGCAAACGCTGGACGGAGGGTGCGCTGCGGACTAGCCGCAGCAGCTTCTGCGATGCATCGGCGGCCCCTGCAGCGAGGGAGGCCAAGAGGCGGATGGCGGGCGGGCTACCGTCCCAGACTCCCAACGGCGGTGTTTGAACCCGAGGGCAACAGCCGGGTCGGAGCTTGAGCCTCAGCTTGCTAAGCTCGAGGCACAATGCCGGGGAGGCCCTGGGGTGGATGGACGGACGGCACGACGGGCGGCATGACGATGCCCCTCACCGCTTGGTGGTGGTGGTGATTATGCACCGGTGGTTGTCGTCACGGCCGCGTTGAACCCAAGTGCCCCGCACGAGTAGCCTCACCCAGACGCATTGCGCTTCGGCATTGGTGTCCCGGGGACGCGATACACTAGGGAGATTGAAACAAGAGGGAGGCCCGAGGCCGACTTACATTCCCGAGAAGAGGTTGGACATGGTGGGCGGCAGAAGCGGGAGAGGAGGGGAAGAGGGCGAGGACGAGGAGCGACGACAGCGACGAGGCGGAGGTCGAGAGGAGTCGGGGACGGCAGCGACAGCGGTAACGGCAGCGAGGGTGTCGTCGCAGGGCCACCAAGCAAAGAAGCAGGACCAGGAGGTGCCGAATGGAGCTTCGTCGCGGGGACGTTCCGTTGGCTAAGCGAGGCGAGGCGACGAGGCTGGCGCACGGCGACGTGGTGCTCGGGCTCTTGTCGGTGGGCTCTGGGGGGCGCTCTTACTCTCCGAGAGCTCTGGCTAAGCTCGGAGTGTTGCGTCGGGGTCAATGTCGACGACGGAAACGTAATGGGGTGCTGGGCCAAGCCGAACGGGCAGATGCCGGTAGACGAAAAGGCGGATGCGACCCAAGCCGTTGTGGTCGAGACAAGCAGGCACGCGGGCGGGCGGGGTGCAGTCGAGGGCGGAAGCTGGCAACGGCGGCGGCGGCGGCGGCGGGGAGGGGCGAGTCGAGCGACGCCAGACGCGGTGAGGTGAGGTGAGGTGAAGGAGGGGAGACGGGGGCCAGGGCCGAAAAGGGGTCCAGCACCTCAGTGGCAGCAGCAGCAATTGCAGCGTCCCAGTCGAGCCGAATCGAGTCGAGTCGATTATCGAGTCTGCGCCCGGCCGTTGTCGGCGAAACTCGCGCGGGGGTCGAGGGGGCGTTCAGTCGCGGCCGAGGGCGATGGAGACGGACGGCGGGAAGCGCAGACGGCGATGGCGAGGCGGCGGTGCTGGTGATGCAGAACTCGAGTTTGTGGTTTCTCGAAGGGAGTTGCAGCTGGAGCCTCGTGGGCTCATACTGGAGACGGTCGGAGTCGGACGAGACGGGGGACGCAGCGCTAAGGCTTAGGCCACGACAGGCCCATGGAGCCTCCTGCGTGCCTGGTGCGCTTCCTGGTTGCTGCTAATCAACGTGTCGCCTCCGCCTCATCAGTCAGCGGTGAGGAGAACCTCAGGCGGACAGACAGGTGGACGGGCAGCGTTTTGGATGGGGCCGCCGCCACAAGGGGGCCCAGCGGGAAGCACAAGGGGCAGCGCCATTGGCGCCGTTGGCAGCAGCAACTGGAACCATTGACACCTGAAGCAGTGGAGACGGCTGTAGTCTCCGGGGGTCCAACTCCCTGGCCCTGCCCGCTGTGCGCTGTCGAGTCGGGGGAGCCCGTGCTGCCCGCATATGGGGCGTCCATCACCGACCTCACTTGCAGTCGGGGAGCTGGCTCCGACGAATCAATTGGCCATTCGCCCGTCCCGGCGCAGGGCATTGCAGCAGCGCCAGACGAGCTGGGGGACCGTGACCTGAGTTTCTTTCACTCCAATGGCCCGGGCAGCCTGCACGCGACGAGGCCGAGGTCGTACCAATGGGGAAATGGTTGGGGACCCCCGGGCCGCCCACTGGATGGCACGTTTCACACAAGGGGCCGCTGTTCCCGCCCGCTGTTTCGGTGTGCCCACCTCATGGCAACCTGGTAGCTTCCAGGGCCGGAATGCCAACACGGGCGGGCTGCCGTGGCTGAGGACCAGATGCTGCTGCGCCACACCTTCGAGAAGAAAGTCGTCGCACGAACAATAGCTTCAGCCCAACTCAATGGCCTGAAGGGACCAGAAGTATTCATGGTACGGGAATCATTTCCACCGTTAAACTACGTCTTCCATTTTGTAGCCTTGCAGCCTCGTCAACCGGCCACCGCAGCATCACCAGCGCCGCCGTTGCAACACGGCCCTCGACCCTGTTACCTCTGGCATCCAAAGTGTGGCTGAGCCCCACAGAGTACTCGAACTCCAGCGCGTCAAACTCCAGCGCCAGCCTTTCAAAGTCTCGCCAACCGCATCCAATTCTCCTGTAGCAGCCTCGCCGTGCCTTGGCATCAGCCCTCACCAAACTACACAAGCCACCATCTCCCCGGCTTCCCTCGCGCCAGGTGCCCAAGCACACATCGCCTCGACATGTCTGATTCCGAGGATCCCCTCGACGTCGTCGACGAGGGCGGCGACGACCTCTTTGGAGACGAGGACGAGGAGGCAGCCTCGCCCCAGGAGCGCGTTCAAGAAGACGATGACCTCGCCTCGGACGCCGGCGAGGACGATGACGGCGACGCGCGGCGTGGCGGCTATTACGATTCGGAGCCTCAGGAGACACGGAATAGGGTCGTGATCGAGGAGCAAACGTACCGCCACCGGATCCCCAAGGCCTCGGACGACATGGTATGGAATCCACGCGCGCGATACACAAACATGGACCTCGCATTGACCAAAGATATAGCTGCGAGTACTGCGGGTACCCAAGTTCATCAAGTTCATGCCCGAAATCTATACACCCGACACCTTTGAGCCCTCCGAGTTCGACGTCGCAAATGCAAAGTCCGAGCAGCCCCAGCACGTCGCCCGAGTCCGACGAGACCCGACCACGGGCGGCCTCAAGAGCAACTCCAACGTCTATCGATGGAGCGACGGCTCCGTCACCATCTCCGTTGGCGGCGAGCACTACGAGATCTCCAAAAAGTCACTCGCAACGGCCCCGGGTCAGCCCTACAACGAGCTGCACGACGGGCATTACTACGCCGCCGCCGCCGAGCTTAGTAGCAACATGCTCATGACGGTCGGCCACCTCATGGAGCAGTACAACGTCAAGCCCAACAAGGCTGTCGGAGACGACGCCCTGACCCTCTTCGCCGAGCGCATGGCCCTGGCCAGCAAGGGCGTCAAGGGCGAGGACATGATCATCCGCACCACCAAAGACCCCGAGCTGCAGAAGAAGAACGCCGAGCTCGCCGAAAAGGAGAGGCTCAAGGCCCAGCGGCGGCGCGACAACGCGGCGGCCAAGATGGACGGCCCGGGACGGTCCGGCCGCGGCGGCCTGTCCATCGGCGACCTCGAGGGTCGCGCCGGCTCAGGACGGAAGAGGGGTGCCGCGGGCGCCGCCAAGCCGAAGCGTCGCCGGCCCGAGTACGACTCGGACGACGACTTGCCGCAGGGCGTGGGCCGGCACGAGGACTACGACATGGACGACGGGTTCCTCGTGGGCAGCGACGAGGAAGAGGAGGTGGAGAGCGGAGCCGAGGACGAGGAGGAGGAAATCCTCGAGGAGGACGACGACCGCCACCGCCGCCGAAACAAGAGGCAGCGAACGGCGGAGCCCGACGAGGACGAGGACGCCGAGGGCGACGAGGTCGAGCCCGAGGCGTCGAGCCGCGCGAGGAGACGAAACGTCATCGACGAGGACGAGGACGAATAGTGGGCCACCAAAAACTGGAGGCAAAGCGGTTTCTATGCTTCAGTGTGTTTCTTCCTTCTTCAGCTGTATTGTAGGCTTCTCGTCATATAGGCAAGATGAGGGCTCAAATGGCCATGAGATGACTGGCCGGGAAATGCGAAAAGGCTTTGGGTGTTCCAAGACCGTTGAGCTGCACATTGTGACTTGTCTTTGGCGATTTGATGTATTCATGTAAGCGCGAGGAATCGCCCATGTGCACGCCGAGGGAAATCCGGTGACAGCGCCTTTTGCAGACGCCTTGAAACATGGCAAGCCCCAACACCAGCCAGGAGGCTCGGCCGGCATCAACCCACCACCCCAGAGTATCCAAGCCAAGCCAGCGCGAGGACCGCTCTACCAGCACTGGGCATGATGCTCTCCGTTCTTGAAGTAGCAATACTTGTCGGAATTCCTGCACTGCGGCGGGGAACGAACAGAAAACCCAGGGTTAGCACCATGTCTGTCTCCCATTAAAAGCGCAGTAGATCGTCCGCCCGTCCGCCCGTCGGTTCAACATACCGGGAAGCCAGGCCCGCAGGGCATCGGCGCGCGTCCCTCCCACGAAGCTTGCCCGGGATAGGGATAGTACGCGCAGTCGTTGGACGTAGTATTGCATTTCTACATGGCCCAAGATCCGTTAGCATCCACGTTGTCTTCCTCTCTGTCTTCAACCTTGTTCTCTCCTCTCGCCAGCTTGTAAAAGTGAGCAAGGAGTGAGGGGTTCTTCGGATTGAAAGGGAAACTGAGGAGGGAAACTGTGAAAATGAGATCCAGGGGGGAAGACAAGACATACCCCGATGCTCCAGTCCGAAAAGTCCAGCTCGCAGTGGAGGTGGTCAGGGCATTCGCACGTCTGCTCGCCGGCGAACCAGCAGGGAGGGCAGAATCGGTCGGGCATGGCCGGCTGGCTGCGCGCTGCAGGCGTGTAAACGTACAAAAAAGTATCAAAAAGGTAAGACAGACCGGAATCAGTTGGACTTGGATGAAGACGGCTGTTTTCTTGGCCGGCAGGCAGAGGTGTACGAGGATCAGAGAGAAGAGCAGCGATACTGCGACGACGGGATTCGATTATTGATGGGACGGCGCCACCATCGAGAGAGCACGTACGTACTTATATATGTTAGTTACGTAGGTAGGTAGAGCGGCGCGCCCTGATGACCCAGATGCGGCCGCCTTGACCCCGTGTCGCAGCATCACGCCCGTTTCGGCCCCCCGACTCATGAGTCCATGACCACGCACGCACTCTGACAGACAAATAATTGGAAAACGAAACCCAGGACGACCAGCCATGGCAAGCCCGCGACCCCTTCTCCGACGCCCCCATCACCAACCACCGCAGCGCAGGTGTCCCGTGCCTGGCGCAAGAATCAACCCCAGGCGGAGCGCATGCGCGCCACGTGCTATCTCGCGGTAACTGCCCAGTGGAAAGGAAAACTCACGATGACGGTGCGGTCTTACTGGAACAAGTGGATAAGGGCACCGGGGAGGCGGGATTGACACGAGGATGAGCCCTGCGCAGTTGGTTTCACGACGACGGGCGCACCGGTTGGCAGGGCCCTCACGGCGGCCCGGCGCGGCCAGCATGAAAGACGGCAGGTTGAAGAATTGACTAACCGAGACGCGCGCTCACCGAGGCAAGGACGCATATACATGATAATATTCGTTAAATCCACTCCATGGGCAAAAGATACGTCTGTTCTGGATCAATTGACAACATGGGGGCCGAAGAAAGTCAGTTCACGATCTCGACGTTCACGTCCCGCCGCCAGTGACCTCATCAATCACATGCGCGCCGCCGCGACGGGAAACCGTCGTCCCCGGGCCCCCACCTCACGCAAATGTGCCCACTGCCCACCCCGACCGCCGCCGCCGCCACTACCCGCCCACTGCTCAGCATGTGTCAACGGGGCGAGCTCGTGCCGCAGCGCAGTCGCATCCCATCCGTCCATCCATCCATCTAATCTCGCTTTCGCCGCCGCCGCGGGATCGAGGACCGACTCTGTGGACAGCGACGACGACGCCGATAATGACGCTGGCGATGTTGTCGTCCTGAACGGCGGCGCCATCCCCCACACCCTCTCCCGTTCCGTCACGAGTCACGACCTCCGCGAGACCGACCGCGGTGAAGCTCCATCCCCGGGCGGCCCACACCAGCAACACAGCTCAGGTATCGGTGATCAGTGACAGCACCCTCCTTCCGTGCATGGTGGTCCCCCCCGTGATCCATCCTCGGTTACCATGGGGGCGGTCCTGGCAGTGTGGAGGGTCGTCGTCGACGTTGTCACCTTCTGGCAGCGGGTGCGTTTCTCCCCTCCGTGTCTCCCTCTCCGTCTTGAACACCTTGCCTCGGACATATCCTGCCCTGCGACCAGCCGAGTGCTGGCTGCCCGTCCATCATGGCCCTGGCGCTGACCCCCGTCCAGAAGCTCGCCAGCTGGTACACGCGCAAGAGCCCCGTCGAGCTCTGGCTCCAGCTCCTGCGCAACGCCGAGACCTTTGAGGAGTGGGAGGAGGCGTCCCTGCATCTCGATAACCTCCTCGGACTAGACTTGTGGTACGTAGGCTTGGGCTGAAGCTGGCATCTATCTGTCCCGTCACTCGTCCACCTGAATTTGCTGACCCGGGTGCAGGAGGAATAATCCCACCTCAAAGTACTACGACTGGCGCCTCATAACAGACCGTCTCAACTCCCTCGTCATCTCGCGCGAGGAAAACAACTTCCAGCTCATCGTCAACCTGCTACGCTCCGGCCTCGTCCGCAACCTCGGCAACATCACCGCCCCCAAGCTCTACAACCGCTCCTTCTCCGGCACAAAGTACCTCATCGACGAGTACATCACCCAGGTCGCTGAGTGTGTCGAGGACATCAGCACCTTGCCCACCAGCCTCACCAATGGGGTCGACGAAGGCGCCGGCCGTGGAGGCCTGACGAACCAGATGAAGCTCGACTTCATACACGACACACGGCAGGCATTCGGCCGCACCACCCTTGTCCTCCAGGGCGGCGCCATATTCGGCCTCTGCCACCTTGGCGTCGTCAAGGCCCTCTTCCTGCGCGGTCTCCTGCCGCGCATCATCACCGGCACCGCCACCGGCGCCCTGATCGCCGCCCTCGTTGCCATACATACCGAGGACGAGCTGCCCGACATTCTCAAGGCCGACGGCATCGACCTGACGGCTTTCATGCGCAAGACTAGCGGCGAGCGGCGCGAGGGTGGCGCTGCCGTGCAAACCTTTCGCTCCCGCTGGGACACCTTGGTGCGCAGGCTACGCCGCTTCTCACGCGAGGGTTATTTCCTAGATGTGACGGTACTCGAAGACTGCGTGCGTGCCAACGTCGGCGACTTGACTTTTGAGGAGGCCTATAGCAGAAGCAAGAGGATCCTCAACATCACCGTCGCCACCGAGGGCCACGGCGGCGTGCCCACGCTGCTCAACTACATCACCGCGCCAAACGTCTTGATCTGGACCGCCGCCGTCGCCTCCAATGCATCATCCCCTTCTCTGTACGGCCGACCGAAGGAGACGATTCTATGCAAGGACGCCAACGGCAACATTGTGCCCTGGGCCCCTGCAAACACCACCGACTTCCGACACTGGACGCACGCCTCGTACTCGGACCGAGACTCGCCGCTGCGGCGCATATCGGAGCTGTTCAACGTCAACCACTTCATCGTCAGCCAGGCCAGGCCATACCTGATCCCCTTCCTGCAGTCCGACATGCACGGCCCGTCGCTCGTCGAGGCACGGAGCCGCACCACGCAGCTCTCGGCCTTCTTCGTGCGCATGGTTGGCCTCGAGGTCCGCCACCGCCTGCGGCAGCTCGACACGCTCCGCCTGCTGCCGTCGAGCATCCGTCGGTTCCTCGTTGATGAGCAGATCCCCGCCGCGTCCATGACGCTGGTGCCCGAGGTCACGGCGGGCGACTTTGTGCGGCTGCTCGAGACGCCCACGCGCGAGACGCTCAACTATTGGATCCTCCGCGGTGAGAGGAGCGTCTGGCCGGCTGTGGCCGCTCTGCGCATTCGCTGCGCCGTGGAGAACGAGCTCGACAGGTCGTATCAGGTGGTCAGGAAGCTCAAGGCCGGCGATCTGCGAAGAAAGGGCAGCATGGCGGCGGCGAGCGACTTCGACCGCAAGGGAGCCCCCTGATGGCCCCCGCTTCTGCCGACGAACTGTGTTGCTCATCCCGTCGTCGTACAAATTGGCCCGGTGCCGATTCCGCGCGCAAAGCGGCCGGCCTGCCGCTTGTTGGTCGGTGACTGCCCTGGTACATAGCGCCCGTGTCTGTCACGTCCATTGAGACACGCGCTCGGCAACATTTACCGTCGTTTCGGGATCGAGGCCGGCAAGTCTACTCCGAGCACTTCGGATCATGCCGGCTGGCCTGCCCCGCTTCAGGGAAAGCATGCCATTGCGCTGCAGAATCTCGCGTGCGACCCAACTCAGACGTGCCGGGCGAAACTCTCACGGCGTCAGGGTTCATGGCGCCAGGGGTTTCACAGCAGGAGCAAAAATCATAGGATCCTGACGGACTGCCTTGGAGCCAGCGGCATCCAGAGATTTGGCCTGCGGCGCTCGAGCCGCTCGGCGACGTGGTCAACGGCCAATCTCACGAAAGAGCAATTCGCCAAGCTCGGCCGGACTCGACGCTTCTCGTCACATCGTAAATAGTCGAATAATGACGAGAACGGCGATGGCCACACCTGGAACCCGCTCAATGTGAATTAAGAGCTTGTTGCTACGTCGAATCGTCTCACTCTGTGGCTAGTGACAGTGCTGTAAGCTAAACTGCTGTGAAGGCTCGGACAGGTGATTAGCCACTGTGTCGACATTGCCATGGTCTTCAGTTTCTAGCTTGTTACACCGGAGTCTATGTCCACGGAGATGTTAAGAAATCATGGCCTGTGCGAGGCTGAGAATTGGTTCCACTGGCTAGGCAGGTTGTCCTGCGGGCGTTGGAACGTCGGTCAACAAATGTGCTTGCGGCTGACAGATGGCACAAACATTTGGTGCGGTGACTGTCGAAGTCGGCTCTTCAGGATTGAGCCGTCCCTTTCGAGCACCTCGAAAGGGCGGATACCCGTATGTATGAATGGGCGTAGGCTGAGTCGATTAGCCGGACCCAACTTACCATTTCCTTCCGCCAACGGCAGCATCACAAGCGTTACAGTTGTATAGTCCGTCCAGCCAGCCTCGGCAGCTCCAATTTTGATAAACAGGATGTGACGGTGGCACAATAATAGTATATCGTTCAACTCTAGCCATGTATGGAGCTGGGCGGACAAGATACTCTGGCTCTGGCTCCTGTGTGTGGAGATTGCTGGCGGTGCCGTTTCCCGGTCGGAGCCTGTCTCAGGCAAAGGGGGCCAGGACTCTGAGGGACCCTGGTCGGCTGTCGGACACTTTCCTTGCTTCTCTGAACTGCATCAGAGAGAGACCCTTACCGGAGGGAGACCGAGTTGACAGTGATACCCTGTTACGAAGAGTTGGTTGGGTGCCCCGATCGCGGGGTGCTTGCCAGTTGCTCGGCATCTGGGGCATGTGCGGCAGATAACAACGCCCGACCGCTGGACGGAAGACCTGGCGACAACAACCCGATTTTCCGGGACAACAAGGGCCTGCAGAATGAACAAGGGTACAGACAGACCGTGTGGGTGTGTGGATGAGTGCCCGCGCGTCCCCCTCCCGTCCCAGCGACCGCCATGGCGGGTAAGAAAACGTCATGTCGTCGGCATCGGCGTGCCATGATTTGACGAGAGGGCACGGAGAAGCGGGCGCGGGTCGAGTCGACATGGATGAAATTAGATTCATCATATTTCTGGGGGAGAAACGGTCGTGCATGTGCAGGCCTGGCGTTCCATGGCGTCTCCTGGCGTCCCAGCTGCTTGCTGCCATGTCCCCTCAGGGTATATGCATGGTCCTTGTGCATATGCGGGCGCTTCAGCCATGGCCGCCAAACGGCCGCACGCCAGCTGTGTCCGCCGCCAGTGCGCCAGCATCCCAGCAGGCCGGGACGCTCCCGATGGCCGTTGAACCGGGAGGCCGTGCGACGAGGAATTTCCCGTTGGGGGCCGTGGCTTTGCCCTGCCGCCCGCACCGAGGGTTCGGTCTCGCGAGCGTCCCCGGGATGGACGCAACCGCCGACACGAGACGAGCAAGGCTTGCAGCTACGGAAAGCCATCGCGTGCAGGACGGACCGCGGTACGGACCCGTACGAGCGACGGCAGATGCATGTTGGCGGCGTGGGCAACGAAAAGCGGCAGGGGCAGGCGCGACGGGGAGGTCCCAATGGACCACCGGTATGAGTGTCGATTCCCCTGCGACGGTGGGGATCGAGGAGAAGCGAAGGCATCTACTCCGTAAATCCTAACTTAATAAGCCCCGGACACGGCGCCGCACAAAGTGGCAGTTGCCCTCCCTTCCTTACATTTCACTACGCCCCTTCTGTACAAGCGGGCGGGAAGTCGAATTGCCAACCTGGAGCTTAAAGGGCTGGAAGGAAAGAGCGGCCTCGGTGTTGCCACTTTCTTGGCTGTCCAGCACCCGACGTCAAGCATCCCAGCGTCCAGCATACAGCCCAGCCAAGTCACAGGCCAGGTTCCCAGCCAGTCATTCCTCCTGCCTTCTTTCCTTCTTTGACGCCCGACACGTGCGAGTGCAGCTACGGGGACGAGTAACCAGCACGAGTGCCTCTTGCCCTCGGCCGCAGCGCCTGCTTGACCGACCATCTCTGGTATTGGGTACCTACCCGGCGGACTTTGGACGGGCCAGGGCCGCCCGGGGCCTTAGGTACCTGGGTACCGCATGCTTTTTGACGATAGCGCTTTCCCGGCGGGGAGCAGTTCGAATTCCGAGTAAGAGCTATCCGTACGCTCGCGGTAAATAAGGTAACCACTCTGCACGCTACCGGCCGTCCAAGGAGGCCTCGAACCCCCCTCAAAAACTCTTGTCCTCCCTTTCAACCGCTTAGGCTGCCAGCACCCGCGTTGCGCAACCTCAGCACGCACCACTGGGCAATTGGACCACGCCTGCCCGTTCGCGAATGCGACTGCAGTGTCCGTACGTTGTACGTGTCCGCCGCAGTTGCAGCCTGTTGCCAGGTGTTGACAAGTTGAGACTCTCGGCTTCCAGGTTCTCGTCGCTTCGCTACCCCTGTCGTCTGCAGGCCCAAGCCCTGGCCAGGCGCCCGCCGCCCAGCCCTCGACGCCGCTCCGCAACAGGGACCCCTCCCGCCCCGTCCGAGCCGCACAAGCCGTCCACCACCCGGCAGCCGCCCCAAACCGCCCACCTGTCACATCGATCGTTTGCTTGCAGCTAGCTGGGCCCAGCCAACTGGCCAACCCAGCAAGCCGCCGTCCCCCTCAGGCCCCTCCCCGACCCGTTTAATAAGCTGCGGCACAGAGCTGTTTGTTGTCTGGTCGGGGTCGAACTGGATGAGAAGAGGAGATTCGTGCCCCCGCGACTCTGGCGAGCAAACCCTCTGCTTAGACATTTCTCTCTGAGCGCGCATCAAGACGTCGGGCGGAAGCGAGCCTCACGACGAAGTACCCCCGACGCAGAGATCATCGCCCATGGACGGGCCCTTGACAGAGCCCGTAGCGGCTCCCGCTGCAAGCGCCGCTGCCAGCGCCAGCAGTGCCAGTGCCGGTGCCAGCCTGGCGGCTGCCTACAACCGTTCGGCCTGCACAGAGTGTCAACGGAGGAAGCAAAAGGTGAGTTCTCAGGCTTCGCCCAGGACGATTGTATTATGCACAGCGTCTCTACCCCTGGATGATCAATCGCTTTTGCCCGTCCACTAGTAAGGGTGCACTTTATTGACGTCTTGGGCGTCTTGCCGCCCCCACCAACAGTGCAATCGTGAGTGGCCGTGCGACCGTTGTCAACGTCGAAAGATTGCCGACGAATGTCGGTACAACACCACCAATCCCCCACCCGTCCCGCCCGCTTCCAGCGACGTCAGGGACAGGGACAAGGACAAGGACGACACTCTCCCGCACGGCAAGCAAGGGCCCGCGGCTCCAGTCCCCAATGGCGTTGCAGATGGCGGTCCCAGTGCTGCCGGCAGTCACCCTCATGCCCCGTGGTTCGACACCCTAACGGCCGCCCGCGTCTTCAGCACTCTTGGCCTCGAGCCGCCGGTACGTCTGCCTCCCGATCCGATCTGTGCATGCATGTGCGATGGGCTGCCGCAGGCGGCTCAAAGGTGGTCGGGACAGGCCCGGAATTCCCCCACCCGCGGGCCGTCCTTTGGTCTGCAATTCCATGTCCTGGGCAGGTCGATTGATGCGCGACCCCCGCGACGTATGCCATGTGCTAACGCAACCGTGACACTCAGCCCGAGTCTTCCAAGAGCTCGCCGAAAGAAGACGCGGCGGCCGCCGACTCTTCGCCTCAAATTAAGCGCGTCTTGAAGCTCCTGCCCAGCCGGCAGTCTATGGGTGAGTCCCTGTTCCGCTGCCTCGTTGTAGCCCTCGGTGATGCCCACGCATGCGTACATCCGCTAACTACGGTCGCGATCAGACAAACTCATCAACACGTTCAACAACGATGTCAATTATCATTATTACATCATCTACCCGCCCGACTTCCTCAAGGACTACCATATATGGTGGGAGAGGCACTCCAAGAATCGGCCCCTGTCGCTTCAGTTCACGTGCTTGCTGGCCATGATTTGCGCCTGCTGCGTCCAGCATGCCGACAATGACATGCAGCAGGAGCTCCAGCGCTTTTCGGGAATGCCCGCCGATGATCTTTCGGAGCAGCTTCATAACGCTGTTCGAGAGTTGGCCAGCGTCATCCCGGTTGGCCACTACCACATGTTCAATGTACAGCGCCTGCTTCACTCGTGCTACTGGTACAAGGCGGAGGCGCGGTTCCTGGAGGCGTGGCACGTTCTTAGTGCCGCCATTCTGGAGGCCCGAGAACTTGGTATGTGTTACTGTTGGTTCACTTGAAGCCTGTGCTGACAATACCGCCCCAGAATGCCACAAAGAACCACCGCCGGACACGGAGACAGAGCATGATCGCGAGATGCGGCGCAGACTCTGGTGCATTCTTGATACCTGGGACTGGTACGCTGTCTTGCCCGTCGTTCCTCCCTGCTTGCCAAGCGATTTAACACTCAAGAACAGGCAAATTTCGTCTGGCCTCTCCCGACCCAAGATCATTGACAGAGCAGACTGCGACGCTGAGCTGCCATCACTGACACTGGAGAAGGCTTGGGCACAGGCACCGTCTCCCCTGCTCCACATGAAGATGCAATCGGAGCTCACCCGCCGCCTGGCGTCTCGATTCAGCGCGCCCAAAAATGTCATCAGCACCGATGAAGTTCGAGAGTATCAGGGTCTCATCGAGGACTGGGTTCGCAGGTTCCCTCCCGTGTATGACTTTGAGAACCCCGATACATCCAAGGACGCGCTGTACCCGTGGATTTTCCCCCATCGGTATTACGTCTACACCATGGCATGCCTCTTGATCCTCAACCCCATCCGGCACTACATGGTCAAGTCGTACTCCTGGGACTCGCCTCCGGAGGAGCTCCAGGTCCGAGCCGTCGGCATTGACTATTCACTCAAGCTCATGAAGACACTGCGCAGTTGGGTCGACCGCATTTACAATCGGGATGGTCGCTTGCATTTCGTCATCTTCTCCATCTTCGACACGGCCGCCATTCTCTGCACCGCCATCATCAAAGATCACGAGCGCACCATTTCAAATCGAGAGGCGATCGTTGATGCCGTCACCGACGCTGTTGCAATGCTGCAACAGCTCAATTCCATATCCAAAACGTCCAAAACGTCGTACGATCTTCTGGAGCGACTCGTGCGGAGGTTGCCCGAGCGCTCCATGGTACGCAATGACACCCGGAAGAAGGCAAGGATCTCTCGTATGCCCGTCCCGGCCCCGGACGTACATGTGAGCAGGATGCCGGTCCCAGAGCCTGTTACTGTGCCAGAGCCAAACTTCGTGCCAGCTCCAGTTGTTGAGACAGCCGCGCCGTCTACTGCAGCGAACTACAGCCAGCACCCCGTCAATCCACAAGGTGTTGTTCAGCCGTCGATGACAAGCAGCCAAGCGCCTCGAGGGGCATACGATGCCAACTTGTCCATCACGGGCCATACAAGCTCTGACGACAAAAGCCAGTCCACGTGCTCCACAGACACACCCCCAAGCATGGATGACAATATGCTGTCCTCATTTTCAACTGCCAGCGACATTGGCGGGATGCCGCTCGACGCCTACGGTCCTCCCGGCTTGGCGCCTGCTCACACCATATCGTCAGTGCCACCACCGATGCCGCGAGAAGACGACGTTTCGCCTGGGTTTGAGTTGGAAACTGTCACGCAGGCCCAACTGGGAGGGCTCGCGCCGCTCTGGAACTGGCACTCGGAGAACTTGGGCTTCACTCCAGTGCCCGCCCCGGTCCCGCCTCCAGGAGGACCAGCATTGTCCCAGCAATTGCCTCCCCGTCCGCCTCCACCTCCACCATTGACCCATGCGCACCATAACCCCCAGTACCCAACTGCACCTCACCCCATACAGTATCATTATCCCCGTCAACACCAGCATTCTTCTCAACGGCCAATGTAGTATCTCGTCTCTGGCGTCCTTTCATTGTGTCCGACGGATTCACTCCACTTGTTTTCACAAATCTTTTATGACGCCAAAGATCCTGCTTGCCCTGGCTTCACGTTGGAGTTGCCACCAAGGACACAAGGGGTCTTTGTTTTTCCCTTTTTTTTTTTTGGTTATGTGATTGATACCCATGTCGTTATTAGACGACATTGTTATGAGAGCTGCGCAAGATACCCATGTTGTTATTAGACGACATCGCGATGAAGTTGCTGCAGATACCGTGCTTTTGTTAGCAAGCACGGCAATGAGCAGTAGCATGTCGATACACTTTAGCGCAATGGAAGCTATGGTCTCCGTACTGGTTACGATAAGGATCACCCAGGTTGAATGTGTCCAGAGCTATCTTGCCCAGGCAGACACAGTGATTTATCTCCAAGAGCTGGGGCGCGTCAGCAAATTGGCTGAGGTGCTGCGGTATTACCACATCCCCATGACCGACGATCTTGACATGGGCTCACGGTTACGACCCCTACACGCACAACGGGCTCCCAACCATGCACCAAAGGTGCCATAATAAGGGCCACAGAAGTCGAGGCGACGAGTATCAGGAGTGGAGAGACGTCACGCCAATGAGCTTTGACCCAGTTTAGTCCTCGTGAACTACGAGGCGTCGCGACATCATCACGCAAGCCCGATTCGTCAAGCACCGCCCTCAGCTGCTGCAATTGCGTGGCTCAACCCGAGAGACTTGACGACGACTATTGCGTCGTCTTGCGCGGTTCCACTAGGTGTGCATCCCCGGTGTGCGCCTCTGCCTCGTTACGCCGGCGGTGTGCTTGTCCAGGGCTCAATGTCGTCGCGGCTTCGTATTGTTAGTGACAGCGCCAGGGCACGGAGTTCTCCGAGGCAATGCAAACCACGCAATGGAGGCCTTGGCCGACAGTCGTCGCAAGCCCGGTGGCAATGGAAGGTGAGTGCTCAGCTACAGAGATTGGGCCCCATGACGCGTAGCACGGCGGTCAGTACAATTTGCACTTGCGAAAAAAAGGGGTCTGGCTGGGGGACAAGCGAGGCAGAGCAGTCGTGACGGAGCAGTCGCGCAACCAGCCACGCTGCAGCCGGGCGATTAGGCGGTGACCTTGTCTGCAAGTTGCAAATCGCCCAGTCGTAATGGTGCGACATGGGTGTGGCGAAGGCCGGCTTCTCGAAGCCAGTGTGCGGCCACGCTATGCATGGATCGCCCAGGCGGTTAGGCATCCTCTCGACGCCGTGTCATTGTGACAGAAGCTCGACGACTCGAGATGCTCCTCGGTCGCCGGCTGCAGATAGTCTTCCGGGAAGTGACACGACGGCTGCTTCGCGAATCACGATCCTGGGGTCTCGCCTCACTGTTCGAAGCCTGTGACTGGGCCGGGACAGGGAACAAGAAGGTTGAGTGATTTATAGCGGGCATGCCAGGAAAGCCTTGCCGCCATCGTCGGCCTGGACGGGCGTTGGGTTGGGGAACACGCTGACCCTTGCACAGCTGGTCGGAAGTGGCAGGATTCCAGAACAGGGCGAGCAGCACAACGTCGACGGCCCGCTCTGGAAGACGTTGTACGGCATTCTCGATGGTCGGCCAACGGACTGGGCGAGCTTGACTTCATACGCGTGGAAAGCGGTGCGCAGACGCCACAGGCTGCCCACCGCGTCGCATCAAACAAGTACGGCTGCATGATGCATGTCGATGGCCTCCGGCTGCTGGGGAGGAGGGCACCTGTTGCAGCTGACGCACACGGGGGCGGGCGGCGAGGCTGTTCTGGGCCATGTCGTGCGTGTCGGTCGAGCAGAGGTTTGATTAGGGGTCAAGTTCTGCACATCCTCATCCATCCAAAGCGTTCTTGCATGCGTGTCGCGGCGTCGCCATGCGTGCTCTCCCATTACCGAAAGCAAGGACAGCACATCACTCGGGGCTCTCGCATGCAGTGTGACTTTGCAAGGCCCGCCCATAGCTGTCGTAAGAGCCGGGCGTGGCTGCTCGCCGGCGACGGCTCTCGCTGGCAGGTTCGGGCAAATAGTCCGGCGCAGGCATGGGATGCGTGCGTGCGTCTGATCCCCGTCAGCGGCGGATGGGGGCATGGAGAGCCCCAACGAGCGCAGCACGCGGAGCCGCTATTTGCTCGTGTGAGAGTCAGCTCGTCTCGGCAATGGATGTCGGGGTGCCGTACTTCCCGGGGCCAGAGACTGCAGGGAAATGAATCAGCCATGCGCATGCAGGACGATTTCGAGCATGAGGAGGATGGGCCAAGCCGAGACAGGCTGGGGTGGGTAGTGGTGATGGCGTCGACGCTGGCGGTGTGGATGGATTGATGGATGGATGGGATGGATGGGCGGGCTCCAGATGCAGGTTCCTTGTACCTGCGCATGCGAGTCGAGGCGTAGAGGTACCACCAAGTATGAGTCCCCGCCCGCTGTCGATGGAGAACCTTGGAAAGCTGCACCTTGCTCTGGGCAGTCTGCAGTGGCCCAAGGGATTGATTGCAGTGGGGTGGAGGCTGGTGCAGCTGCAGCTGGAGGTAGCTTGCGTCGCCGCCCCGGCCGTGTGCTGGCCGTGAATTTGAACATGAGGGTGTGATGGCGGGAAAGGTCCTTGAGGAAGAGAGATGAGTTGTACACCGGGCATTGAGCAGGCGGGCACACCTCAGACAACCAGCAGCAGCAGAATGCGTATCCCGTACGTAAGAAGTGTCCAAGGCAAGTACCTGCCTCACCCTGTCATGTCTCTTGACGCCTCGCCGAACAAGGACGTTCCGTCGGGTACCTTGCCTTGTGTTGCCGGTCGAAGCTCGGGAGGTTGCTCCCTTCGTGCCTGCCCTCCGAACTCGTGTACCTTGGCAAGTACACGCCCATGCGTTTCCAGCTACGAAGTACCCCTCGTCTGAGGGGAGCTCCTGCCTTCCTTGAGAAGCACTCTGTGACTTCGTACTGTGTACGTCCACGCAAGCAACGTGGCAAGAGCATCGAGTTCCCGCCGAGGCAGGTACGACATAGTTGTGCTCGTGACGCCTTCGCCGACAACGAGAGCGACCGAAAGACCTTCGTAAGCCTAACCCGCCTCAATCGCAGTTCTTAGCTTCGCATGCAAATCGACCTTGCTCGCAACCACTCACAACACGTCCACCGTCCTTGCACTTTATTTGCTGCCAGTACTCGTCGTGTCGCACACCGCATGGAATCGCATGGAAGATGCAGCACAACACTCGCATGCAGTCGACCATCCCTGCCAACCTGACATGTCGCTTTGATTGTCGCTCGACAGGGAGCAGCCGCCCAGAGCCAGGTTCGTCCTGTGCGGGAGAATGGAGCGCAACGAGCCGCAACACCAAGAATGAGGCACATGACCCGACAACGGCTCTCCACCCTGACGAACAGGAGGAAAAAAAATTAAATCACCGACACCATTGACCAGTCGCAGGCCGAAGAGTGGCAGACGCCGAAGGGGCGTTGGACCACTGGTTCCTTCGGTCCTGGCGCACCACATCAAGCATGCACCGTGTCATCCATCAAACAAACGCTGCCGGCGATGGACAGGGATGCCGGCTTGGGTTTGGGGGTGGCAGCCAACAGCAGCCAAGGAGCAACGGAAGCGCCCACGACGACTGGCGAATCGAGCGACAGGTCTTGTCCCGTCCGACGCAGTTGGCACCACGTCATGTCGACGATTCCACTTCGGTCTTGTCGGCGCTGGTCTCGTCCGTGATCCATACTAGGTACCTACCTCACGGCGTGCCACAAACCGGCGCCAGCTGCTGCAGCCAGAGCTCCGTCGCCGACCGACAAGTTGGGGAAGCAGGCCAAGCAGGCGTCGGGGACCTGGCTGGTGGCCCGTCATGCAGTGAGCTGCGACGCGCTGCGCTACGCTCCACTGCGCTGCGATGCGATGCGATGCCCATGCCCATGCGGCAGCCACGACCAAGCCCTTGGCCATGCGATGCCGTGTACTTTGACACGACGTGCACGCACCACGCTGACCCGGCATCGTCACGGCTATCCTGACGCAGAACATGTGCGGCCGGCCAGGCCACTTGGTTCGTGCGCCAAGCCCCCCCGAGCTTGCAGACCCGTGGAAAGTGAGGCTGTTGCAACTTACGGGTGCTGGCCCCGACACACGGCGACTTGACACACGGCGATTCTCCCATGCGCACCCCCGTGACACCCCTCTGGGCCCCTGCTGCAAGCATCTTGCCCACTCCAGTACCGAGCTGCTGGCCGATGGCGGGCCCTCTGCTCCAGGAGCCTCAAGAAAATGCATCTCTTCGCGCACCCTTCTTTCTGGTGCCCAGCCAGGTCAGGTTCCGAGGCCGGCTCTCGCTCACGGCATAAAATAATGGCACCGCCCACCTCCTCTCCTTGACTCGTCACATAGCATTCAAGCTCTCCTTGGCTTCTTTTCTCGTCATTCAAGACGCACTTTCACACCAACCGTCCCTCTTGTTGTTGCTGTTACTAGTTGCGTTGCCCCGAATCCGCTGTGCTCAGCGGGACTCCGACACTGCAACACGACATCTCTGGCCCACTGGGCACCGCTTGGTGCCTGCCCCCCTCGGCCCGTCAAGCGTTCCTCGAACGGTGCATCGATACATCTACATATCCGACAAGAACCAACCCGACGTTTCTCCCTTGAGCTATCTGGACACGCCATGAGTGACCATCGTCTCTCCACGGCGGCGCTTCCCGTGCGGGCCCGCCGTTCGTCCAAGCAGGACCATCGTCACTCGAGTGGTTCCGTCAAACGAAACGATCGACGCCGCACCGCCGCCAACCCTGCCGCCACCCAGGGTCACGAAAGAAACCTTCCGACTCAAGTCCCGATGCGCCACGGCGACGATGCAAGCGACTGGACCTTCGTCCAGCGTCATGAAGTCGGAACCGCAAGCATCCCCACCACAAGCGATACGGCATCTATCCAGGGTGTCGGCCCTGAATTGAATGCCAGCAACATGCAGCTCCACGACGAGATGAACAAGACTGCCTCTTGGTCCACTGGAGACAGGACGGCCTGTCATCGACGTTGCCGTCAATGCCTCGAGGGCAGCGACGACGAGCACAGACTTACTAGCCATCGCACCTACTGCGCCTCGATGGGTGCCGACGAGAGCGCCCTGCACATGTGGGCTCCCGTCCCGTATGACACGGACGTGTCGTACATGGGCACTTGGACAAATGACGTCGACGTCGGCGTGTACAACGGTGATATATATGCCGGACTGACCCAGGATCTTTGAGACGGCGCAGGGAGACACTAAGATTGGTTGCGAGCTGTCCCTTCTTTCCGTTCCCCCTATTGTTGTTTTTATCTCCTTTTCTTGTGCACACATGGCGCACGAAGAAGACGTATTTTGCACAGGGTTCATTGTATTTGGAAGGTACCACAGTCATGGCGTCTGGAGGATGGGGGGAGTTTATCTGGCTTGGATCTGAACACAACTTGCTTTCTGAAACATAGCGTCGGGTACGTTTCTCGGCCTGGTACAACAGCACATGGCCTAGCTGTCTTTCTCTTGATTTACATTTTATTTTACTTTACTTGTACACGAGCAACAGACGACGATGATGATGCAACCGAGGGCCAGTTTCTCATGTGCGCGCCCCAATCACACTGCACTTTCTGGCAGCTCTGCCACGACACAGCCACCACCCTCCAGAGCGATAGCTGCCCAGCCCAACGACGTGTGACGCACCACCCCCCAAGGGCCCCCATGCGTTCGCACACACATGTCGGCACCATCCCCGTCGCCGCAAATCGATTGGGCTCCAACAGATGTCGGACCAGATGAACCGACAGGTGCAAGGCCCATGGCCAGGGTCCCTCCCCTTCCTCTTCCTCGTCCTGTTTCTCTCCGCACAATCGGGCGGGGGGAGTGCGCGCGCGCGTGTGCCCACCCCCCTCCCTCCCACCGCCTTAGGTCCTCCCGACCCTGACTTGCCTGATCCTCGGCAACCTGGAAGACAAGGCAGGGCGAGTGAGTGTGCGGCGCAACAGATGGGTTCGTAGCTGTCTCTTATACACATCTAGATGTGTATAAGAGACAGCTCCCAGCACAGTCAGCTTCATTCAATCGCGTCGGCCGGTTAAATTTCCAAATCCATCATTCTTTTTTTTTTTTTCTAATTTTAATTTTGGGTTTGGGGGGTTTGCGGACCTGGTAAAGAACGCCCCCGCAAATAGAGCAATACGAGGATGAAGGGGGAGGAGGAGGAGGGGGAGGAGAGTTTTGCGGCGCTGCGATGGGATGGGATGTGACGCGGGGGAGGCGTCGGACGGATAAGGTAGGCGAGGTACGAAATATATAGCCAAGGTTTGGGACCACCCTACCATGCGATCGCTCGAAAAGTACGGGTTGTGTAGACGCGCGTTTAGGTAGACTGACCCTTTGCCAACTAAACGCCAGTCTTGACCCCAGTACCAAGTAATACGGAGTAATACGCGTCGCACAGAACCCCACGAAACACCCGCATATACGTACTTCGGACAGGCCGTCCGTCGATCCCCCAGACTCCACCGCCGGCGGCGGTGGCGACGGCCCGCCGCAGAAGCGAGAGAGATCGATCTGCGGCGAGCCGGCCGGGGGGGCGGGCTTGGCTCCTCCGTCATTTTCATCTGGGAGCTCAGTAACTACATACGCTCGGTTCCTTGCCTCGCATTGCTTTTCTTTGCACGTTCTGTTGGGGGGTGTGGTGCGGCTTAGATCCACCGAGTGCCGCTGCTAAAGACTCGAGAGAAGCAAAACTATATCACTTCCTCGTGGCCGATAGCGTCAGTCCGTCTCCCGCACCACGTGTGCGCCAGGAGACCCCCGGCACCTGCAGTCTTCACGGTGCTCTCAGCGTTCGGAGGCGTATCGTAAACTTCAAGGCTTGTGTGCTTGTCCATTACAACTTCCAATCATAGACTAATGACACATTGCAGTTTTACACGATTAAAAGAGGCTGCCAGCTTGTCCCTTCAGACAGTCGACACTAGAAATGTGCGCGACTCCCACGTTCGCCACCGGCCAACAGTCTACACGCTGGTCGGTAATGATAAGTAAATAAAACAATGCTCGAAATCCCGGCCCCGGCATCCTCGTTTCGTTTAGTTGAGGAAAGCCATGACGGCGACGGCACCGGCGACACCCATGGGGGCCGACAGGCGGCCACCAGCGTTGGGGATGGTGGTCGAGGCAGGAGGAGCAGACGAGGTCTTGGATGCGGCGCCTGAATACACCAGTCAGTAACCGTCCCCTCCATCAAGGGGGGAAAGGGGTATGCTCACTAGAGCTGGCAGTAGTGGCAGCCTCAGTGGTGGAGGAAGCGTTGGAGGTCGTCTTGGTCAGGGTGGTCTCAGAGGCGGTGCTGGTAGACCCGGTGGTGCTGGAGACGGTGGCAGTGGACTCGGACTCGGTCGAAGAGGCAGATTCAGTCGACGAGGGAGCCGAGGTGGACTTGGCGGTGCTGGAAGCAGTCGCGCTCTCCTTGGAGGTGGAAGAGATGGTGCCGGTGCCCTGGTAGCTGAACTGGGGGCTGTAGTTGAACTCGCCCTTGGAGTCGGTGATCTTGAAGGCGTAGGTGCCCGTGGGAAGGCCCTCCGGCTTGAAGGTGAAGGAGGAGCCAGTGGCACCGGCTACATAGGTCAAGATGCATCAGCAAGGCAGAAGCGTCGGGCAAAGGGGCGAGTTCGAGGGAAGCATACTCGTCACCGTCTTGACCGTCTTAAGGTTGGTGCTGGGCCCATCCTGGATCACAATGGTGCAGCCAGAGTCGCAGCCCGAGTACTTCAGAGTGAAGTTCTCGCCCTCGACGACCTGGTATGCGGTGTTGAGGAAGGCCGGCTTCGCGGCGGCGGCGGCGGCCAGGGCCGAGATGAAGGCAAGTGAGTACTTCATGGTGGGCGAAAAAGATGAAGAGGAGTGGAACGAGTGTCTTGCTGCGCGGGAGGCGGTGCGTGTTAGCTAGCTTGAAGATGACTCGAATCAGAGGTTGGACGGGTCGGGATCCGCTTGTTTGCTTCGCGAGCTTCCAAGCCTGCTTGTCAGTCCAACACGCAGTGCGGCGCGCTCGCGTGTGATAAGCGGGGAAGACGATGGTGAGGGAAGGAGGGGGGAGGGGATGGGGAGGAGAGAAGTTGTGTTGGGGCACATGATGGACGGCGCCGTCATGATAAATGACAAGACAATTGGGTGCTGGTAGTCTGCGCGTGCGCGTGCGCGAGGGCGTGGGCGCGGGCGTGGCAAGCGTGGGCGTGGGCGGGTGAGATCGGGCAAGAGCGACTAGAGGCGTGCTGTCCACGTCCAGACGAGACGCGGCGGGCGGAAAGAGCGACGCAATGGCAAACTGCAGCGCAGCGCTTGCCGTGTGGCAACTGGCGCCCGCTTCGTCTCGGTCTGGCATTGGCTCCTGCTCTGCGGTTGTCGACGAGGGCGAGGAGATCCATGGACGCTGACGGGTCCATGAGGTCGACGACGAGGCAGGACCGGCACGGCGGCGCGGGCGGTGCGGAGCGGCCACTGGGCGAGCCCCTCAGCCCGTTGCCGATCCGTTCGTCATGTCTTGCTCTCTCGCAAGCCATCTGTCGATTTGCTCGCCGCATGTCTCTGTCACTCGCGCTCTTTTGCCTCTGGCACTCGCCTTCCTCTTGGTCGACAACGAACGATCCACCCCGCCGAGGTTCAGATTGGTCCTCGCGCGCCAGCCAGAGCGCACGCACCCACGCACCGCGCACAGTGCCGCGCCAGTCGCCGCCGCAACTGACAGGAGAGACACGCAGGGGGGTGGCTGAACCAGAAGACAACAAAAAAGGAAAGAAGCCAAGACGAGAATCGCATGCGTTCGGGGACGGACTCACTTACAAGGTGCAAATGGACGGCGGCGGGAAAACCGGGCTCGAAAACTGGAGAGCGATTGACTGCAACGACGGGGCGAAGACGAACGAGCAGAGGGAGAAGAGGAGAAGCGAAAAGAGGAGGGAAATGAGAGCTGGCGAGGCGCGCCCCCAGCTCAAATAACAATGGCCGCGGCTCTTTCTGGTTTGGGCCAGCCTGAGGAGGCAAATTATCTGCACCGCGGCGCGCCGGCCTTGGCCCTCTGATGGCCCCGTCTTGCCGTCCTCGGTCACATTCCATTTCCACGCCAACCCGCCGCCGCCTCCGCTGGGGGACCAGGCCAGCCAGGGCCCCAACGCGGGAGACCGGGCCAGAAAGAAACCACCGCGCAAGCTTCACATCTGCAGCGCAGTACCTGGGTGTACGGCGAGCGAGCGCGCTCCTCTCTCGCCATGCCGTGTACCGTCGATGTCGGGGCGGATCCCCAAAAGTCTACGGCCGTCCCTTGTCTCACCAGACGCCGCATCGGACCCATCCACAGCCGACGACTTGGGACAAAGTTTAGCTCGCCCCTGACTGCACTCGCAGCAGCATCAATCAGCCTCTCGGACCTCTGTCTCCCTGTCTCCCGTCTTTCTCTCTCTCGCTCTCTCTCTCGACCCACGGCGCGTGCGGAGCTGAGCATCCATCATCGAGCCACCGCGTCCTGAGCAGCAGCAGTCGTCGTCACCACAGCAGCCAACAGCCACCTCAACGCTGCTTCTCTCGACAGCCCCTTTTGCGAGGTCCAGGCGACAGAGGGAGAGGGGGCGGCGCCAAGCAGCAGGTTCAATTTGTCCAGCAGGGACAGGGGACCCGCCACAGCAGCAAGCGCGCCATGGGCGCCATGGGCGCCATCTGGACGCCATGGACGGGCGGTTGACACGGATGCCTCCATCTGTGCCTCTCTCGCTCCTCCAGGTGTGGAGGCCCCATCCTGGCCGTCAGGCACAGGCTGCCCCATCGCCGGCTACCACGGCCCATGCCTCTTGGGGCAGTCCCCACGCGCGACTCCGCCCGCCCACCCAAAAGCTTCAGCTCCAGGTCCAGGTGGCTGCAATTGCCCGCTAGCGCCGCTCACAGAGACACAACCGGCTTCTATTGTTGCTCTCCAGCACATCCGTGGGTGTCTCTCCCCTCTGTGGGTGTCTTTGTTGCGAAGCCTCTGGGAGTCGGGACCTCGCCCGCCCGTTGCTCCTCAGCCTGGTCAGCGAATGGTGGCAGCCAAAGGTACACCACTACGCCAAGAATACGAAGCCGCGAATATAGGCGCCCTTTTCCCGGCCTGGGGCGCATGCGTCGACGGGTGGCACGCGGAGGCTTCACACTCTTCTCGTGCGTGCTGCGCCTCACACCTCGGTCGGCGGGCAGGCACCCAAGCATCCAAGCACGCGCAGGGTCGCGACTCGCGAGGGCGGTGCAAGTGATGACCCGCCCTGCCAAAGCCCAGAATGGTCGGTCATGGGACTCAAGACGGCAATGCGGTACTGACACGAGCACCATCGGTCATGGCCGGGCAAGCGCCCAAGATGAGCGTCACCACGTTTGCTTGGCTGCTTGCTTGCTTGCCCGGACTTTACTCCGTACTGACTCTGCAGTACAGTATATTTTGCGTGGAGCGTAACGGATCATGCCCTCTCGCCGCGGACGTTCCCCAGACTGCGCTTGCAACGGGTGAGCGGGCAAATGTTGGCCGCCCTTCCGAGGCTGCATTGTCAGAACCAACAGACTACCAACTTTGAACCCCAGCCAAGCATCCATGCCAGCAACCACGCAGGGACCGCGAGAACACCATGGCATTGGCATTGGCACCCCACCATGCCAGTTCGCTTACTCATCCTCTGCATCTCGGCGAGCCTTCCGAGAATGGACTGACATTCCATCGTCGCCTGAAAAGGACGAAAGCCCGCTCCATCTCCGTACACAGCCCTGTCGGCGCGTCGAAGGGCCTCATCTCGTCAATGGGACCATGACCGCTTTTCGCGTCGACCCACGGGGCGAGTTGCGTCGCCGCCGTGCGCCATGGGTCCACGGTGCCCGATTGCCTGCCATGCCTACTATTGCGCCTCCTCAGAGGGAACCACCGACACAGGAATGCGCCCCTGGGCACCAGAGAAGAACATGATCATGACCGCATCATCTGCGTGCCGTCGCGTCTCGTTCAACTCAGACACGTTTGGCTCCTTTGTGAGGGCGTCTGCGGATATGTAGCCCGCAATGACGTTGACCATCACGAGGCATCATCATCATCGGCCGCCTTCGAAAGCCTCACGTCCGCAGGCGGCGGGTCGACCGCGTCCAAGGGGCATCGCCGGTCCAGGCGGCCGCCGCGCGTTGAGGCATGACGCTCCGATCAATCACCACGCCGGTGGTCGTTGCACCCGGTCGTCTGCATAATGATGCCGGATTTCGGGACACCCCTGTGACGGCGCACCGCAGAAGGTCACGAGCCGGCAGACCGTCGGCGGAGGTGGACTTCGGCGGCGACCCGGGTGACGAGTGCGGGTGGGCTGTACGACATCATCTCCCGCCGTCACGACATCGTGCCGCTTGCGAGTCAAGGTCACCTCGGTCGCACGTCGTGTCACCGGCACGGACCCGCGCTTGGGTCGCACAGCTGCCATGGATGTCGGCCCAAGCCCGTGCAGCAAACAGAAACTCTGTTGTGCAGGACACAGCGCGCGTCCATGCAGCCCGTCCATGATCCAATCCACGGAGCCGACTGGCGGAGCAGCCGCAGCAAAGGACGCGAAAAAGACATCGATTAGTTTGTTGGCGCTGAGTTACACTACAGTACCTGTCGGGCGCGCCCATGCGGCTGCTAAATACCCGTCATTCACACCTCCCATCCAGCAACGATAGTCCACACCACAAGATGAAGAGCACCGTTTCCTGCCAGTCCGTCCATTTATGCTGCCATCGCGGCTTTCCCTTGTCCGGCGCGCGGGCGAGACCCGGCGACCAGCCCATGCCGTGATTTTAAATCCCCGCCCACATGAAAAACAAAAAGTCACTTCCTTCCCAGGTAGTACGCTGTTTCCCTTTAATGCTCCAGCAGGCGCAAGCTGCCCTGAACCACCACGTTCTCCAGGATAGAGCCCGGGGGGATATCGATGGTGCTGCCCTCGGTGGCCACGATGATGACGGTGCCCTTGAGCGTGACGCCACGGCCCAGGTTGACAGCGCCGGTAATGGTCAGGTGGTCGAGCTCGAGGACCTTGGGGATCGAGGGAATGCGCTTCTGGAAGTCGGAAACCTTCTTGAAGTCGCCGCCGAGCTTGATGAGAGGGGCGTCGCCGAAGCGGGCGGCGCTCATCTGGAGCTGGCCGTGCTTGAGGGTGTACAGGTCCGACTTGACCAGCATCAGATCCGAGCACGTCTTGACGGGCAGGAAGCGGCGACGCGGCACGTTGACACCGTGAGCATTCTTGAAGTGGCGAATGGCGGCGCCGACAGCCGTCTCGAGCTGAATGATGGAAATGTCCGACTCGCCCTTCTTGTCGCCGGGAATGGTCTTGCCGTTGGGGATGATCTCCATCTCGAGCTCGTCGTTCTCGACGACGCGCTTGATGGCCTTGAGGTTGAGCCAGATGTTGTTGGTGTTGAAGTACTTGAACTTCTTGATCGACTTGAACTCGTTGACATGCTCCTTGGGAACCTGGGCAATCTCAAGCAGACGAACGGAGCCCTCGTAGTCAATGATGGTGCCACCCTTGACGTCGGCCTTGGTCTTGTTGGTCAGCTCCATGATGTACTCGGCCTTGGTCTCCACCATGTGCTGCAGGATGCGCAGGTCGACGACGGCACCGAGGTTGTCGACGTTGGAGAGGAAGATGATCTCAATGCCGCGCTCGATGAGCTTGTCGAGGATGCCCGAGTTGTAGAGGGACTCGAAGACGTCGCCGTGGCCCGGGGGGTACCACTCGGTAATGGAGGACTTGAAGTCCTTGGGGACAGGCAGGAGCGAGTCCTTGAGGATTCTGGGGTATCTGGACTGGTTGAAGGTGAGGATGTCGACGTTGTGGCCCTCGTACTTCTTGATGATGGCGGCGGTGTCGTCGTTGGTGTTGAACGAGTTCATGAGGATAAAGGGCACGTTGACGTCGTAGGTGCGGTTCAGATACTCGATCTGGCGGACCGAGAGGTCAAGGAAGGACATGCCGTCGCGGACTTCGATGACCGACTTGGGGCCGACGCAACCCATTGACGTGCCGAGGCCACCGTTGAGCTTGAGAACGGCGAGCTTGCTGAGGAAATTGACCGACTCGGAGTTGGCAAGGTCCTCGTAGTCGACGACCTGGCCCTGGGCAGGCGGGGCGATGCGGTCCCAGTCACTGAGAGAATGGTCAGCCTGGCGACAACGACAGCAAAGGCGGCAGTGGCCACTTACACGGCGTTGCCCTTGGCCTTGTCGTTGAGATAGCGGCGGAAGAGGGCAAAGAAGTTGTCCATCTCCGTCTCGAACAGCTGGGGGCGCTATGGTCAGCAGACTGGGCAGGCGATCAGAACGTCGAGTGGCTGTACCTTCTTCTGCTCGGTGTCCTCGACCGTCTCGGCGAGGTTGGTCAAGGCATTTCGCATCTGAGCCGCGGCCACGCTGGTCGACGTGTTCTCAAAGGCCTGCGTTTGCCCGATTAGCGATTGTTCGCTACGTACATCTGTGTAAGCCATCGCAGCGGGAAAAGTCTCGGTGGGGCAAGACATCAAGCAAGGCAGGGTAGAGAAAGAGCAAGAAATCGCGGTTATGTAGCCCGAGGGAAGGACGGCGGAGGGCCTTGGCTGGGTCGGGGCAGCGTCGCGAAGAGCATCACTTCGTTATTCTGCAAAGTCACTCGCACCGAGCGTGGAAACGAGTGACATGGGGAAGTGGCGCAAGTTTCGCAGCAGTCTCTGGTGGGCGACCCAGCAACGGATTGGCGGGAGCCGCTCGACTGAACAGTCGAGACTTTGATGCGCCGTCACAGAGAACGAAGCGAGCCAGGAGCGTACAAGAAGGAGGTCGCGTCGGCCGTTGTTCACAGAGTCGGGAGAGCAAGCCGTAGTCGGGACTGATTCAGTGGTGGTTTGCTGTTTTGTTGTGTGCGCTGCAAACATGCGGCAGGAATGGACGGAATCGCAATGCGAAGACGGCGGTCCCAGCACGGACAAGAGCAACGACAGGTGCAAGCAAGGGGATACGGCTGCAACGGGCCATGCGCAAAACGGGCAGGGGAGCAACTTGCCATGTGACTGCGCGTCTTGCCGTGATGGCGTCTCTCGAAGCCATTGTCGTCACCGTCGGCGGCGGCGGCCTTGGGCTTGAGGTGCGAGGGCAGGGAGCTCTTGACACCAGCCATTGTGGGCGATTTATTGAGTCGGCGGGAGGTGGAAGGCAGCTATGTCGTCGTCGATCCGAAGCTGTATCGCGGGGGAGCAGGTCTGTGGAGGAGGAGAGGAGAGGCGGAGGTTGGGAGGAGGGAGAGGCAGGGCGTGGAGGAGGGACGGGAGGACAGCGAAGTTGTCGACGACGAGAGAGTGATGAAACTGGGTCAGGAGAGACAAGACAGGCAAGAGAGCCTGTCTCTTATACACATCTAGATGTGTATAAGAGACAGTGGGGGGGCAGACACCCCTGCACGGTGAGCCGGGCGGCCTATCAAGGTGGCCCTGTAGCCTCCTTTGCCTCCCCTTGTAGCGAGAGAGCTCCAGCTGTTGCTCCTGGGGTGGGGGGGGCAAGGCGGGCAGTGCATCCGCTCCCGCCTAGGTTCTCATGGATGCGGTGAAGGCGTCGTGAGACGAGGCGTGCCGAGCTTCAATTGTCAGCGGCTTGCAGCGTTGCGACGTCGCGGCCGGGCAGTAGGCAGGTACAGGTACGCACCATTGGGAGATGACAGCTCTGCATTGTCGTGCTGTGCAACTCTCCAGCTGGCGACTGACGCCACCACCACCTCAGGCACCACCTCTTCTACCTAACTTAGTAGGTAGGCGGGGTCGCGAAGCACCTAATCGCAGGCGCCGCTGCAGCTGTGCGTGCTGTGCTGGTGGTGGTTGACGTCAGGCCGGCGTCGACGGACGGGTACAACAGAGCAAAACATGATTGATGCCCCGTGGCGATATTGTACATTGCGGTAACTGATGAACCCCGACGAACACCTCGTGCAACTTGCGCCTACAGAGTACTCGGAAGACGACGGTGGCCCCAACCAAACGAGGCTTGCTTTCCATCAACTCGGATGCCCTCGTCGCACCGTGTTCGCGAGCCGCCTCCCCTCCATTGGAAAACTTGCCCATCCCCAGCAAGCCCAATTTCAGCACCCGCTCATCAAAAACCCGGTCCATTTTGTTTCGGCTCGCTGCCACCCCCACCGCCTACTTTCCAGCAGCAACGGCGGCATCCGTGCCATCCCAGTCCCCTTTGCCCCAAACCCATGGGATCCCCATGGCCAGCCAGCCCATGCCGTTTCCCATCTCGCGCCAGGCCCGCCCTCGGGAGCATGGACGCAGATGAAGAATCGCCCAACAAGGAAGGGGTGGCAAAAAAGTTGTCAAAGGGGTGACTCGACACGAGGGGGAAAAAATGATTGCAGGTGCGTGCGTTCGTGCATGCGTCGTGCAAAGCGTGCATGACGGACAGGCCGCTGCAGACTGCAAATCCTTTTTTTCCCTCGCCCCAACCCAACCCAACAAACAACAACGGACGCCGCCTTGGACGACGGCGACGGCGACACCAACTTTGCATGGAAGGCCGCCACCAATACCACCCCGTCGCCCGCGCCCGCCACGTTCTACCACCGCCCGCTAACTGACTTAACAGATGCGGACTGGCTGGTCCAGCCCACGGCCGGCCGATCGCCGGGGCGGCAACTACCACGTTTAGTAGCAGCAGCAAGCAAATTTGTCGCCGCCATTTTTGGGCGCGCCATGCAAGCGCGGACGCCAGCGCAACCGCCATGCCATCGGTGATCGGTGTCGACGGTGGATCGAGAACCGGCCGCCTGGGGCGGCGAAAAGAGCGCACGCACGCATTTCTCTCCAAGCGCCATTTATTTATCATTGTTGTTGCGGGACAGGCACCCGTCGTCTCGTGTTCCATGTAAAGCAAGCAAGGACGTCGCACCTGGTGCGTGCGTGCGTGCCCACCGAAACGGTACCTAGACGGCCGATGACAGTCGTTCGTTCTCGACTCGGTGCCTCGTCCACACCGTCGGGCAAGCACATCATCGCCCGTCGACGACGCAGCCCAACGGCGGCCGCAGCCGTTGCAGCGGGAGCCAGACAGGGGGCCTGCCGCTGGCCGGTGCGGCAGATGGGGCGGCGTGATTGGGCCGACCGCTGATGGCATCTCATTATCGCCTCGCCTCGACAGGGGGACACCCATCACGATTTGGTGGTCGGTCGGCTGCGTCGTGGTTGTACAAAATGATATGATAGCATAGCATCAGGCCGCCTGTCATGTCGACCTGTGCGTGTCGCGCCTGTTCTTGCCCACTGGGCCGCCGTACTTATTATAGCACAGCAATCACTCGCACAGCCGCAGCGCAACGCAGCATCGTACAGCGTACCTACCTACCTACGTACCCAACAGGTGACAGCCCGGTGCGGTGCGGTGCGGTGCGGTGCGGTGCGGTAACACCACAGCCGAGCTTAAACGACGTCCTCAATAAATCAAGGTTCTCGAAGCTCCCCCTGACACCGACACGTGGGGACGGCATTGGCTGGAGTCGCTGTCCCTGGGGCTACTATTTCTGGTTCCGGGCGGCGGCCACATCATCTCATGACCATGCCCGCCTCATCTCGCCTGAGGCCCCCCTGATGAAGTGACCGACCACGCGGCCCTTTGTGTATCAAAGAGGAGATAATTAATTACTTCGTTCCCTACACAGCCACAGGCGTCGCAGTGCTTCACCACAAGAGGCCCTGTGGCCGGCGCACCCACCACCCCCCGGGCCGAGATTCTCCGGCTCCGGCCCTCTGCCGGCCGGCCGACCGGTCGACCACTGACTGATTCATTCCTCCACCACCACATTGACGAATCCACCTCGCGTCCTTCCATCCCGCGCCCTCCACCCGCCGTCCGGCAGCCGCACCGAGACCACCGAGACCCAGCCCTGCCACAACGTTGCATCCTCCCCCGGCCACCCGTTTCGCCCGCCTGCCCGCCCGCAAAAAGGGCATCTCCGCCTGGTCGCTGTTCCGCCCGTGGCGTGCCTCGATCCGGCAACCGCAGTGGTCCGCCAGCCCTTCCGGCGCGCCGGGGGCCTTTCAATGCGCTGCTGACCTCCCCGGCGGTCCCGTCGTTTCCGCCCTCCGCCGGCCGTGACGGAGCCAAGCCAGTCAAAGTTATGACTACCTCGCGCCCCAGCCCGTCGGCACCTTGAAGTTTCTGCCTTGCTTTGCTTTGGCTTCGCTTCACGAAGTACGGATCGCTTGCGACACAAAGCCCGGTGCTGCTGCAGACCACCGACGCCTCACGAACGTCCCAGCAGACCACACCAGAACCCAGAACTCCAACATGGGCTCCCTCGACCCCATCCCCTACTGGCATTACAACGTCCCCGAGGCCGACCGGACGCCGGAGTGCCCTCCGTTCCTCCTCAACCTCAGCGACAAGGACCGCCGCATCGTCGGCTCCCCGGACTCGTCCTTCACCCGCCTCACCTGGGCCCAGGTCCGCGCCCTCATCGCCGCCAACGAGCTCGAGCGCTTCCAGCGCGTCCCCTCCCAGCTGCGCCGCTACAAGGCCTACACCCACCGCCAGGCCGCCGCCTACGGCTCCGTCGCCGCCTTCATCCTCGGCGAGCGCCTCCGCTGGCAGGAGCCCATCGTCGCCCGCGGCCTGCCCTTCCAGCACCCCGACGACGACGTCCGCATCATCTTCAACGACTGGCCCTACGGGCTCGACAAGCGCATCGTCCACCTCGTCGTCTGGACAAAGTTTGAGCTCGAGTCGGATCCCACCACCGGGGACCTCACCGACAAGGCCCGCGCCGCCATCGACAACTACGTGTCCAAGACGTTCCGCTCGCGCGTCGCCGCTGACAATGTAAGTCGTGTTTTCGCCGTCTTCGTAGCTTCTCCGTGCACCGTGTTCATCTCTGCAGGTCTCGTGGTTCAAGAACTGGTCCGCCCTCAAGTCGATTCACGCCGTCGAGCACTTCCACGTCATGCTCTTCGACCCCGACCCTACCTTCATCCACGAGGTCACAAACGGCGACGTGCCCCAGTGCGAGATTTCTGATGTGTAATGACTTGCGATGACATGGTAATGATTTTTCGAGATTGATTCGTCCCTTGCCTTGGACACTGCCGGAGTTTTGGATTGGGCATGGCAGATTTGATACCTTAGACTGGGCACTATAGACAGACTAGATAGCGGCATGGTCTACACCATCTTGCATTATATTATGACAACATGCAATTATATCCAATCGGTGTACATGATGTCGTCTCTATCATCGCGTCGCCGCTACATAGCTAGTGATATACTCGTACGGGCACATCCCTCGTATTGACGCGCAGTTCCACTGACGGGGCATCAGCAAAAGGCACCGCTATCGGCTTGTCGACGATGATCTTGAGTTGCGAGCCCGATCCGTCAACCGGCTCCGCCCTCTCCAGCCGGAGGTACAGCGTGACTGTTTCTGCGATATCTGAAGCCAGCGCCTCCAGAGTCCCAAACGATGAGTTCTCCATCCTCTGCGCGCGGGGGGTTGTCAGCATTCAGCATGTCCTCTGGCACAACGCGAGTAGAGGCAGGACTCACATCAACAATCTTAGACTCGAGGGCGTTGAAAATGTCATACGTCGCGTCGTAGTTGTCCACCTCGACGCTCACAATCGCCGCCTGCCGGGCCTCGCGCTCGTTGTCGTTGATGCCGATGAGCGTGGGCACGCGCAGGTTCTGCAGGCGCAGCGTGCGGCCGTAGATGCGCATGGTTGTGCCGACGAGATCGTTGCCGAACACGCCCGTGTAAGTGAAGCTGGGGCCGTCGCCGACGAGGGACGCCTTTGGCAGATGACCTGTCAGCTCGATGCAGCGCACCGATCGGAGGTTTCGCAGGAAAGGCGCCGTGGCAGCCGACGACGCGGAGAAGGGGTGGCCGCCGTCGTCATCGTCGGCATCGATGGGGCTGCCGTTGTGGTAGAAGCCGGTGAGGTCCATCCAGATCCAAGTGAGCACCTCGCACAGGCTCAGGGGCCACGTCGAGGAGGATGCAGTCACGGACGACGATGCGCCGGCGGGTTGGGACCCGGCCCCGGCAGCAGGAGCCGAGGATGAAGGCTCCGGGGAGCACGTCTCGGCGGCAAGACGGTCGAGGCTTGCAATGATGGCCTTGCTGAGTTGGCCATAGTGGACCGTATCCGACGCGAGGGCGTCCGCCGACGAGGTGCCGCTGAAGGGCTGACGCAGCTCGACCTTGCACGAGATGAGGATGGGCTGCAAGCGGCCGCGGCGGCCCCAGGCATCGTTGGGGCCCTTGACCGTGGCCTGGAGGTTGCGGACTCGCACGACAGCAGGGGCCTCGCCGACTGCCACGTGCAGCTGCCAGAGGTTCCGGGGCGGAATGGCTGACATGCTTCCCGGCGTTGGCGATGATAGATGCCTCAAGTCGAGGTTGCGACGATGCTGCCCACGCGGCCGACTTCGGCTCGGCTTCCGGCGCAGACGAGGTGCGCACGAGTGAGCTCAGATCAGCTCAGCTCACCTCCCGCGCGCACAGCGGCGGGTGAAGGCGTCGTCGCCGGTCCAGTCCGCTGCCGGCCGGACGAAAAGTCGGTTCGGGGGAGGGCTGCCTAGCGTTGACCCCGCGAGGAAGTTGCGATTGCTGCTTCGCGGCTTCCGTCGCTAACGGGGGAGGGGCGGATGGATGCCTGGAAGTCTGAGGCCACGAAAAGATGCTTGAGGCAAGAGCTGCCCAGGGCAGACGCTGATGCGGCGATTGTCCTGGTCGGATGTCGTCAGCTAGGCCCGTCGGGCGTTGATGGATCTCTGCAGCCGCATCACTCATACCCTTATCCGCTGCGAGCCGTGAATACTCTTTGCTCCGATGCGGGGCACCGGCACCGGCAAGCAGCGCTGGCACTGGCACTGTCACTGGCACTGGCGCTCTCAACCCCAGCGGCGTATAGGCCGTCGATTGCCACGCCAAGAGCTCGGCTCATCCAGCGACCAACGTCCAATCGCACAGATGTGGTCACGCAGGTGATGCTGAAACCACTGGGCACTGCGTCTTCGATCGATTGGATTCGGTACGGTCCTGTACCGAAGCACCTGGTGATTGTGCTGTCGGGCTGACGTCTCACTAGCCCGGCTGGCGGCGCCTTGTTCGGCCAGTGCCGCCAGCCTACCCTGTATCCACGCGCGACTTCGCGATTCTGTCTCCAGGTCACATCTCAGCAACATCGAGGAGGTCGGGTTGTGATGCCCTGTGTGACCCCGGCCGTCGGCATGCTTCAGCCCGTGGCAACTTTGACACATCGACAGCGCTTTGGGCAGGGCCGGCAGTTCACTAACACCACCGCCTCAAACACTGTGCGCCAGGAAGCGTGACTTACACCATCCATGAAACGCCTGGAGAGGGCATCAACAGCCGGTTACCGATTTCTCGGAATCGACAGTGAACATTGGAACGGCAACAGGGGGACGGTGTTGCATGTTGCAGCAACCTACATACCTACACGCGGCGTGGATGAGAAAGTACGGCCCCCTCGCATGCAGTCTCAAAAATCGACGTCCATCTGCCATCCCTCCTCAACTAAGTTCACATCACGAGCGGCCTCGTCCCGTCCCGCCCTCAGACAGAACAGACGAGGCGAACTAGCACAGGTTCCGCAATACATGAGATGCCCACGAAGACGAACTCACAATTGAGCATGAGTCGACCCAGGCAGGGCTCGTTTCGGAAATGCTTGAGAGATCACTCAAGAAGGCCAGCATATCCCGGCCAGGGAACACCGCTCGCCGCTCGGGTGTGTTTCGGCCCCTTCCGCAAGGCGAAAACTTGCAGCTGGGAAACGTCACTGCCGACGTCTGTACCTGCATACACACGCCTACCTGACAATTGCTCTCTTGCACCGGAACCACTGGTTCCGACAGAGTGGACAATTCTGCGTCCGGTGCCGGCAAATGGGCACTAGAGACCGCTGCCCGCCTCGCCACGTATCTTGCAGGACTCAAGAGACAGCCTGGAAGCCAAAGGCATGAGGCATGACTGAGTGCTGAGTTCTGGAGAGCTTACCCGGTAGCAGCAGCCATTGCCACCGACAATCAACGAAGCATCATGACGGGCCTCGGAGGACATGCCCAACACAGCATAAACCACCACGACCGCCCCACAGCCGGCAAACGAGTGGAGTCAAGTCTTGCAGTAACGTCTCCTTGTTTCTTGGTTCG